TGGGGCCTTAATCCCCTCCTTTGAAGTGCTCCCGCCTCTTCACCCCAATCCGAGAGTGACAGGTGAGCACAGAGTCCCCCTGTCACCCTCAGAGGCTCCCCGGGTGCTGGGCTCCTGGGCGCAAGTCCCCGGGACCCCCACCTCTGGGTCACAGCCCATCGCCAGGCTGGCTGAATGGGAGGCCCAGGGCCCTTCCACCTGGGGGTCCCGGGGGCTGCCCTGCATGGACGTGAGTGTCTGGAACACTTGAGGATGGCTCTTAGGGGGACAGGGGATGAGGCAAGTGTGAAGCAGGAGACACGTAGGCATTTCCGAGGGAACGCTCTTTGTCTCAGAGATGCTGCTCAGCAATGTGGTTGGATGTCCAGGGCGAGCCTTCTAAGCAGGGCTTATGTCAGGAGAGCTGAGGGTCAGCAGGTAAAGGGACCTGGCCCTGGCCTACGCAGCCTGGACCACCCAGCGTCTGCAGTGACGGTGGCACTCGGAGCAGCGGCTGGGTGCCGAAGGACCCCTGCAAGGAATCCAGTGCCAGCCTGTGCCTGCTGCCGCCCGGATAGGTGCCACCCTGCGCAGAGGAGGGGTCGCGCCTCCCCGTGGGTTCCCCTCCGCGTTCTTCTGGGCTGAGCCTGGCTGGCGGCCCTGCCAGGACACCAGGGTAGGAAAGGACGCAACGGGGGGTGCCTGGCAGCGAATGATCTGCTTGTCCCTGCCCCGCTGCCTGAGGCCGCGGAGGGAGGCGAGGCTGTGCCAGCAGCTGGGGGTGAGGGGCTGTGCCATCTGGAGCGGCCCTCGCCTCCCGCACTCGCCCCCTAAGCAGAGGGGCTTCCTGCCGGCCCCGAGGCTGCAGCCAGACCCTGCTACAGTCACAGCCCACAGCTGGGGGCTTGGCTCTCCCAAGACTTCACCCTGACCCTCCCCACGCACCCCAGAGCTCCAGAACCAGGTCCCGGGCCTTCAGGTGCCCCAGGGGGCAGCCTGACAGAGCTGTCTGCAGGGAGAGCTGCAGGGGTCACTGGGGGAGGGGGCAGGCGGGATGGAACAGGGGACTGCCCTCTCTGGGCTTCCCGGGCGTCTCCAGCTTGCCCGCACCGCCTGGCCCCCCAGGCCTGGTCCTGACTTGCTGGCAGCAGCTCTCTCATCTTCTCTGCCCTGGCTGGGTGACCCTCTGCTCCTCCCAGCAGGCCAGCTCCTCCTGGAGTCAGTCCGCCTCCCCACCAGCCGCTGGCCTGCTAGACTGTGGCCCGGCTCCCATCTGAGACCCAGCACCCTCTCTCGAACTCAGTCTCTGCTCCAGGAGAAACCCCTGTGAAGGCTCGCCTCTAGGAAGCCTTCCTGACTCACCCAGGACCACCCAGTGGGCCTCTGCATCCCTCCCCAGCACCCCCCAGGGCCCTGCTGCTCCTGCGGAGGGGAGTTTGTCTTGCTGACCACACCCACTGGAGCCTGGCTGTGTTCAGTGTCCCCCAGTGGATTTTCCTGGAGTCACATTTCTAATAAAGGAGCAACTTCCATGTCCAATGTGTCTGGGACTGGATCAGGTGGCCTGGGAAGGGCCATCATCTCTGAGGATGGAGACTTCAAGCAACAGTTGTTCGTTAGTAACAGGTGCTTCTAGCATCACTTTTGTATCTGTCACAATAAACAGGCAAAATAAACATCTGTTCAATAAATTCTAACACAACTCACTCCCCTCCTACAGTGTGTACACATCTTGTAAAAATTGGAGGTTTACTCTGACGGGCCAGCCAATTGGGTTATCCTGCTGTTGGAGGGTTCTTACTGGGAGACCCTGGCATAGAGGGCCGTCTTTGGGCAAGAGGACCTGGCTTCTCCACGGGAAGAGGGCAGTGTCTGTGACGAGCTCGGGGTTCTGGGTGCCGGCCGGAGCTCCAGGGAGCACTCTGGGGTCAGGAGGGCAGGGTGACGTCTTGCAGGCCAGATCGGCTCCTGGTGCCCAGCTGTCGCCCTGGCACCTCGTCCCTGAGCCTACCCTGGGCTGGACCATCCCAGCCCTGCCTTGGCCAGGCCGTAGGAGGGGTGGGGAGCTGGTGAGTCTGGGGGCCCAGCACCACGCTGGGGAGTAACAGTGTGTCCTGGGGAAGGAGCAACTTTTGGGGGCAGGAATTCTTCCTCCAGCCATCTGAGTCTTCTGTGTTGAGGAGGGGCTCCCTCTCCCCGCTCCTCCATCGGGGGCTTTGGGATCACCGAGCAGGGAGGCCTGGGTGGGTGGTTCTGTGCCTTTTCTGGCTGTGTGTTCCAGCATCTCCTGATGCCAGGCACTAAGGAAGGAGACAGGGAGACAGGCCCTGCTGGCCGAGCCTGGGCGGGCCCCAGGTCCAAGAGCCCCCCAGGGTCAGCATTCCCCGTGTCCACTCCATCCTTACCCCGTCCGTTTGATGCAGTGGGTGTGCCTGACATGCTGTACCAGAATCCTCTGGCGTGTTTGCTGGAGCGTGGGGTGTTGGACCTTCCCGAATGTCTGCTCAAGTCAGCACGTTGATCTGCTCCCCAGGCTGGCGGTCCAGGGACCACACCGACACACATCACCGTGGAGGCTGCACCTCGGCAATGCCCACATTCCACCGTGATAGCATCCTTGGAGACCGCAAGCCCTGGGGGTACCACTGACCTTTCACCCAGGAGAAAACCGAGGGGCAGAGATTCCTCGATGGCTCGGCACCTTCTCCTTTTCCCGTGTCCTTCCTCACGATTTATACTCATGCTCTCTGGGGTTCAGTTTTTTCAATGGCTGCCTCCTTCCTTGAATGTGGATCTCGGGGGGTGGAGGTCATACCTGTGAAGTTCACTGCTTCCGGAGCACCTGTGACAACCTCTGGTGCAGGGTAAATGCGCAGCCAGCCTTTGGACAGTGAAGGTGAGTGATGCGGGCTTGTCTCTGAGTTGGGAGCGGGTCCTGAGCCTCTGACCTTCGGGAGCACACCTACCCATGGCCCAGGAGCCCAGAGCCTGCAGGGTTGGCAGAGTGGGGTCCAGAAGGCTCTGCCACCTGGCTCTCGTGCCAGCTGGTGGGGCTGGGAGTGGGGAGGGCTTGTCTCGAATTTGCCCCCCGCCTGCCTCCCGTATCTCTGTCCTTCAGTTCCCAAACCTGTGAAGTGAAGACAATAACAGCACCTGCCTCAAGAGGCTGTGGTGAGTCGTTGAGTGAGTCACCATGGCAACCGTGCATCTTCATCTAGCGATTGTCAGGTACCAGATGCTGTTCTAGCGATGAACATAGACAAGCCCATTTAGTCTGTTACTGATTCCTCATTACAGACGAGGCACAGAGAGGTTCAGTACTTGACTGGAGTCACACAGCTTGTAGGTGGCAGAGGAGTCAGATCTGGACGGTCTGGTTCCATTCATTGGACAGTGGCGGCCCACGGACTCGCTCCAGAAAAGGCCAGAATCCAGCCATCTTGAGTGGCACTCTAGAGCCGCCCCAAGGTCCCAGCCCCACTCCACCCTGACTCACCCCAGGATCGTTCCTGCGGCCAGCCCTGGGGAATTCCCTGGGACAAGGACGGGGAATTTCTGGGACAAAGGAGAGATATTCCTAGCGGATGGGAAATGGTCGCCTTCCACGTGGCCTGCCCTGGTGGGGGGCTGCTCCAGCAAGGTCCTGGAGAAGGGTCTTTGTTGGGGAGGCCGACCCACGAGGGGCCCAGGAGGGTGGGGTGCAACAGCAGGTGCATGGCCTCAGCGCTTTGGGGTCGGCCGGGAACACACACAGTCTCATAGGAACACCTCCTGCGGGTCTGTGGGCTGGGCTCTGGCAGGTGGGCAGAGCTGGGGTCACGAGCCAGGCAGCCGTGAACTTCCGTCTCTGAGCATCTGCTTCCACCTAGTGGCCTCTGACATCCCCACGGCCCCAGAGAGCCTGGGGAAGCCCAGGGCCAGCAGGCCGCTGCCTTTCTTCAGCTTAGTTGCTCAAGTCATGTCTGGTTCTTTGTGACGTCACGGACTGCAGCACGCCAGGCTTCCCTGCCCATCACCAACTCCTGGAGTTTACTCAGACTCACGTCCATTGAGTCGGTGATGCCATCCAACCATCTCATCCTCTGTCGTCCACTTCTCCTCCTGCCTTCAATCTTCAGGCATCAGGGTCTTTTCCAATGAGTCAGTTCCTCGTATCAGGTGGCCAAAGTATTGGAGCTTCAGCTTCAGCATCAGTCCTTCCAATGAATATTCAGGACTGATTTCCTTCAGGATGGACTGGTTGGATCTCCTTGCAGTCCGAGGGACTCTCAAGTCTTCTCCAGCACCACAGTTGCCTTTCCTAGGTTGGGGTTTGTGGAGCGCCCACTCCGAGGTGCAGTCGATGGGCACATTCAGAGCAGGGGCAGCAGGGGCTGCTCGGTCACCAACCCCCGTCCTGTGTGCCTGGCCCCGGTGCTCGACCTCTGTGGCGGCGGTTCCCATGGTTTCCACGTCTGAGAAAGAAGACAGTGGGAGTAGACCCTCTTCAGGATCCCTTTCCTGCTGAGCTCCTATATTCTGCCTGATTGAGGGGCTGAGAGCTTCAGCTCCGGAGTTGGACACACCTGCAGTTTGGATCCTGGCTGTGTGTGGTTGAGCGAGTTACTTTGCCTCTCTGAGCTGCGGTCGTGATGTAAACATGAAGTATGATGGTTCTATCCGGCAGCCTGGCCCAGCGAGTGCTCACGGACCCCAAGGCTAACAACGGCCGCGATGACCCTGTCTCCTGAGGCGGGGCCGGAGCCCTGTCTCCCCCAGCCCCGTGTGGACGGCCGGGACAGTGGGTGGGCAGCCTCCGAGGGCCCCGCAGGTCTGAGTGCTGCCGTCCTTGGGACCAGGGGAGGCGTGTCCTGCGGGCAGCACAGGGCGCCCTGTGCCCAGCAGAGGGCCCTGCGCTGTCCTGCCTGGCTGCCGCGGGCAGAGGGACGGGGGGGCGACCACTGGAGCCGGCTGGCGACGCCAGACGCCCGGTGGGGGCGGGCCCGGCAGCCAGCTGCCCATCGAGTCGGCCCACACTCGGCCCGGCCTTGCCTCTGCGTGCGGGCAGCCGCGCTGCTCACCCGGCCATGCGGTGGCTGTGGCCGCTGGGCGTCTCCCTCGCCGTGGCGCTGGCAGCTGGGCCCGCAAGGGCCCCTGGGGGGGTCCGCCTGCACCAGGGCGGGCACCGGCCTGGGGCCCAGGAGCAGCCGGACTGGTCCAGGCGAGCAGCCGAGTGGGAGGATGCCAAGGGGCTGCAGCAGTACGTGCCTGAGGGGTGGGCTGGGCACCCCCGGCCCATCCGCCCCGCCACCCCGCAGCCCACCCAGCCCCGGGTGGCCGCCAGCCCCTCCCCGGGCCAGGCCAGGGCCGCTGGGGGCAGTGGGCAGGAGCCCCGGGGCAACGTGACGGGGACGCCCGGCCAGCGCCTGCAGGTGCAGAACCCCCTCTACCCGGTGACCGAGCGCTCGTACGGGGCCTACGCCGTCCTGCTGCTAGCCCTGGTGCTGTTCGCTGTGGGCATCGTGGGCAGCCTGGCGGTCATGTGCATCGTGTGGCACAGCTACTACCTGAAGAGCGCCTGGAACTCCATCCTGGCCAGCCTGGCGCTCTGGGACTTCCTCGTCCTGTTCTTCTGCCTCCCCGTCGTCACCTTCCACGAGATCACCAAGCAGAGGCTGCTTGGCGCGGTGTCCTGCAGAGCGGTGCCCTTCGTGGAGGTGAGCATGTGGCCCTCCGTGGAGGTGGGTGTGTGGCCCTTTGTGGAGGTGAGCGTGTGGCCCTCCGTGGAGGTGGGTGTGTGGCCCTTTGTGGAGGTGAGCACAGCCCGGCTCCTGCCCCCCAGCCCGGCTCTCGCCCCCAGCAGCCTCACGGCGGCCCCTTCTCTCCATGCTGAGAGCTCCCCTCCGCTGCCTTAACCCCTCCGTCTTTCCACCCAAGAAACTGCTCTGCTCTGTCTCTTTTTTCTCCCTCTGTGCCCCTTCTCTGCCACTCAATTTCCTGCCCCCTCAAGCAGTGCCTGAAGGGAGATTCCAATTCCCTGCAGACTCCCACCCTCCTAACCAGTCAGGTCTGTACCCTCACTGCCGTCACCTTACTCCATCCTCTGAAAGTAGAGCCCAGGTTCTGGGGGCTGCAGCTGAGGCTGGGGCATATTGGGGTGTCCCTGGGCGGGTCAGACCTCCTTTCCCTTTCCCTGTCTCCCAACCAGGGGGTAGACGAGATGGCCCTTTACCTCTGGGCCCTTCTTTGCTGGGATGAGTACATGGGTCTTGATGGATGTGTAGATCAGAAGGAGAGAGTGCAATCAAAACAAAGCCAAAATATGCCAAAATAAGTGCATTTGTGTGGGACACAGCGAGGCCACCATGTCTGTACAGGAACATGAAATAAGCCAGCAGCCTTTTGAATGTTGTTTACGTGGGGCTTGGGGGGAATAATGAGGGCTAGAGTGACCGTTCCCCCCCAAAGCCACTCTCCTCCCAGGGGCTGAGTGAGTGGGTGGCTGGCCTGAGCAGGGAAGGAGTCAGGACAAGCGTCTGAACGCTGCCGTGATCCTGGTTCTCGCCGCGTCCCGTGAACTGGTGATGAGTTCTCATCCGGACAGACTTGCTGAGGTTTGGGAGGCAGCACAGACCCTTCCCTGCCCTCCCCAGCCCGGGGCGACCACCCAAAGGTGCTCAGACCGGAAGGAAGCCGCCCGGCTGGGCGCAGCTTTGCATCTCAGTTACCTGGAGCTCGGAGCCCCACTGAGCCTCGGGGTCAGACACGGGGCCTTGGAGGCGGGCAGACCGGCTGAGTGATCGGGGTGGGCACTTCAGCTGCCCCAGCTCAGCCCCCTCGTGGGTGACGGGTGATCAGCGTCACCGTGACTGAGTGAACTCTCGCAGGACGACAGGTGTGACAGCTAGTGTGCTTGGAATTAAAACGAGTCAAGAGGTGCTTTTTACTAGGAAGGCCTCAGGGAGGGGAGAGGGTGACGCCCCGTGAGGCCTGTCTGCAGAGTCGTGGCCGGGGGAGCCGGGCCCCCCGCGGCTGGGGTCCCAGACGCCTGCCCCCTCCACAGCCTGGAGGACGGGTCACCGTGAGCCCTCCCTGCAGGCTGGCTGGCGGGTGAGAGGTGAGGGACAGATGCGCTGCCGGGCCCTTTCGTAGGGGCCCCACAAGGCCCTGGAGTGGCAGAGTGAGCTGCAGGGTTCCGGAGGGCCATCCTGAGAGGAAAGGAGGGGCCGCGTTGTTTTCCTCCAGAGGCCCAGGCCTGCCCGCAGAGGGGGCGGGGCCCCACAGCATGCCCCAGTGGGGAGGGGAGGTCCGAGCAGGGAGCGCCCCCCTCCCTGGCACTTGCCTCCTCTCTGCTCACAGGGCAGTCGTCCGTGCGCTGGGTGAGCAGCCTGAGGTCAGGTGGGCCGGTATGGAGGGGCTGCTTCGCTGGGTGGCCCGACCCTGGGCCTCTCTGGCAGGGCACGGCGGGACGGAGAGCCTGTGTCTGCACCCTGCAAGGCTAGCTGCCCCCCCAAGCCACGCACCCAGGGGACACGGGCATCTACAGCCCGGCAGGCCCAGGACCCCTGCATCCCTGCGTTCATCCTCGGGGATGACTCCTGAAGTCCCGGGAGCATGGTAATGACCCCCTCTCCCCAACTCCGTGCCCCGCAGGTCTCCTCCCTGGGCGTCACCACCTTCAGCCTCTGTGCCTTGGGCATCGATCGCTTCCACGTGGCCACCAGCACCCTGCCCAAGGCCAGGCCCATCGAGCCGTGCCCGTCCATCCTGGCCAAGCTGGCGGTCATCTGGGTGGGCTCCATGACGCTGGCGGCACCCGAGCTCCTGCTGTGGCAGCTGGTGCGGGAGCCCAGCACTGCCGCGGGCACCGTGGACGCGTGCGTCATGAAGCCCTCAGCCCACCTGCCCGAGTCGCTCTACTCACTGGTCCTGACCTACCAGAACGCCCGCATGTGGTGGTCCTTCGGCTGCTACTTCTGCCTGCCCGTGCTCTTCACCGTCACCTGCCAGCTGGTGACGTGGCGGGTGCGGGGCCCGCCAGGCAGGAAGCCTGAGAGCCGGCCGGGCCCGCAGGAGCCGCCGGGGGGCCGGCCCAGCAGCACCGTGGCTGGCCTGGCCGCTGTGCACGCCCTCTGCGCCCTGCCCGAGAACGTGTGCAACGTCGTGGCCGCCTACCTGTCGGCCGCGCTCACGCGCCAGACCTTGGAGCTGCTGGGCCTGGTCACGCAGTTCTCCACCTTCTTCAAGGCGGCCATCACGCCGCTGCTGCTCCTGTGCGTGAGCCGCCCGCTGGGCCGCGCCTTCCTGGACTGCTGCTGCTGCTGCTGCGGCGAGGGCTGCGGCCAGCCGGCGGCCCCCAGCGGCCCCCGCGCCAAGCTGCACACAGAGCTCTCTGCCTCCGGCTACTTCCACAAGCCCCGCGAGGCACCGCCGCTCCTGGCCCTGGGCACACCCTGCTGAGGCTTGGCTGGCCCGTGCGGGGAAGCTCTGCCCAGAGGTGGGCTCGGCTCCCCGGGCTACGGCCCGGGCCTGCTGCGCCGGGGCCTGCCCACCCATGCTCCGCCCAGGGCAGTGGTCCTCCAGGTTCTTAGAGCTGCTCTGAAACTCTCCAGAACCTTGCCTGGCCCCCGCTCCCCCCGCAATCTGGAGCCTGACCGCACCGCCCGTGTGCCCCTCTCTGCACCGTCCCCCCCCAGGACCTGGCTCCTCGCTGGGCACGGCCAGCCCCGCGCTGCATGCTGCCTTCGGGTGCCGTCCCCCCGGGGAGGACTTGTCTCTCCGTCCTCCTCCTCCTCCGATGTACCCCGGTTGGCCTGTACCCCCCGCCCCGCCCCCCCCGCTCAGGTGCTCCCCGGTAGATGGCCCTTCTTGGAAAACAATAAACTAGGTAGAACCAGCCGTGTGCCACCGGCCTTTCTTATGCCACATCCTGGCAGTGCCCAGATGCACCTGGACTTTGCCCGCCTGGCCCATGGCCAGTGTCCTGCCCAGCCTGGGGCGCCATGGCTCTGAGGGCAGATTGAATGAAAGGGCTTGGAGGCTGGGCCCCTGTGCCCTCAGTTGGGCCTGAACCCAGCCGTCCCCGGGAAGAAGGCTGGAAACTTATCTTCCATGGAGCGCCCCCTCACTGCTCCTCCCTCCGCACAAAGCCCCCATTCGAGGGTCTGCCTCTGAGAACAGCTCTTGTCTGGCTTCTCAGAATGGACTGTTCAGCCCACAGACGACCCAGCCACCTGCCCCCACCCCACACCCTCGCCGTAGCCAGAGCTCTGACATACCCCACCCCCCGAGTCTTCTTTCCTCTCACTGGTTCCTCCTGCAACGGGGGGCCTTCCAGAGGCCCCTGAGCCTCGTCTGGGCCCAGCGAGTCTGGCCCAAGGTCAGCCAGAGGGGCGCCTTGGCTGAGGCCCCAGGAGCCTGCCCTCCCATCTGAGGGATGGACTCCTCCGTGGGGAGTCCCCGCTGCCAGCTGTTCCCAGGTAACCCGCGGGCCCAGGAGGGTCCCCGGGGGGACAGGGTGGTAGCGTGCCCGAGGCTCCCCTCTCCGCTGGTTACCCCACCCACAGCCCTTGGCCTCAGCCTCCTTCCCCCGCACTCCGGGATCTTAGCGGCCTTGTTCTCTCTCCCTGGCACCCACCCCCAGGACGGGTGACGCCAAGGGAGAGGGAGGCCGTTGCTAGGTGATGGCGCTGCTGGGCGCACACTCTTTGTGCTGTGAGATGCAGGCGGCCTCCACGGTGACCGAAGCCCCCAGCCTCGTCTGCAGCAGCTTAGGATGGAGGGGGAGCAGGCTGGGGGTGGGCCAAGGGCAGGCCGGGTGCTGGGTGCCCTCCCCCACTTCCTCTCCGCGCCCCCCCACCCCAGTCCCAGATGCACCAGCAGCTTCCTGGTGCGGGGGGTGGGGGGGGGCGTGGGNTGAGACAGGACTCCTAGAGCTCCAGGCAGGAGGCCCTGCATCCAGCACCTTCCTTCCTGTCCCCCCGGGGGGTGCAGTTCTGCAGAGCTGCAGAGGGCCCCACTCCCACCACGGTGCATGAATCTGCAGTCTGCTGCGTGTGCTGGGCAGTCTGTCTGATAGGCTCCTGCTGCGTGCCTTGTTTACAGGCGCTGGGCAGGAGGGTGCCTGCTGGCTGGTGAGCAGCTCATCCTGTCTCAGCTCAAGTCCTACCCTTCTCAGAGAACACGGGAGGCCAGAAAGGCAGGTCAACCGATCCCCGCATCCTGCTCTCCAGACCGTGGGTGCTGGTCCTGCCCCAGCGCCCCAGGCCACGGCATCACCAGCCGCCGAGCAGCCAGGAGGACCAGCCTAGCCCTGGACCACCTTGCCTCTCCTGAGGGGCTGGTCAGCACGTGTGCACGTTCAGTTGTGTCCAACTCTGCACCTGTTTGGACTGCAGCCGCCAGGCTCCTCTGTCGGTGGAATTTTCCAGGCAAGAATACTGGAGCGGGTGGCCATTTCCTCCTCCAGGGGATCTTCCCGACCCAAGGATCGCACCTAGTCTCCTGCATTGCAGGCGGATTCACCACTGAGCTACCTGGGAAGGCACCCCAAAGTCATCTGGCTCCATTGGCCAAATTCTATCAAACCTCGCAACAGCGGGGAGCCCCTCTCCAGCCAGGCCACTCCTCCCTGCCGTCATGATGACCGGAAGGAGCCTCCAGGAGAAAGCCCTGAGGACAAACGACCTCAGAGCCACCAACGCAGGCCCTCCTCCCAGGACCCTGGAAGCTGCTTTCTCCCAGCAGAGGCTGGATGAAGCCTGCGTGTAGGGCCGTCCCATTTCTGGGAGGAGGGGAGCCCTGTGGGGCGGGGCTTACGGTAAAACTGGGTCAAGATGGCCCCGGATTTGGGAAGGATTTTCGAGAAGCGGGATGCAAGGCTCTGAGCTGCTTTGGAGGCCGGGGGTGGGGTGGGGGGGCGGGTCTTGGTGGAAGGAGGGAGGGCGCGGCCTCTCCTAGGAAACCAGCAGCCCCCACACCAGCGGCTGAGCGGGTCGGCTGCCTGCTCCGCACGCCGGCCACTGCCCACCCCGGGGCCGTCTCCTGGCTCCGCCCGCTCCAGGCGGAGCCCTGGACGCACTGCGCGCGGCATCCCTCGCGGTGGCGCGGCCGGACAGGTGGTGACACCGGCGCCCTCGGGCCGCTGGCAGCTCAGAGCGGGGGACCAGAGGAGGCGGCGGCAAGCAGGAGCCAGGCCGCACGCGGGGGCCGCTCTGTAAAGAGCCATTGTATGCCCGGGCCAGCGTGTGCCTCCCGCTGGCTGGGTGCGCCCGGGTGGAGGGCTGGAGTCCGGAGCCTACCGGGCCACCGAGGGCCAAGAACTCACACCATGCAACCCCCCAACACAAAATTGTCGTTTATTCTTGTTAGGAGGCAAAAAAATGTACAGTTACAAGAATCATCTTCCAAACAGAGGTTAAATATGAGCAGAAAAGTGTAAAAAAGGAAGAGGGACATCACTTTACAAATCATTAAATTAAATAAACCAACAGAAAACAAAAATCCAAAGAACCAACCCCCCATGCTGAGTTCTCTCCTGTGCAACTCTGCAAAGCGAGAACAGAAAGTGAGGTGGCCCATGGAGGTGGGGGCCTGGGGAGGGGCAGGAGCTGGAAGCCCGCCAGGCCGGCGGGGGCACCTCGGAGGCGGCCCCTGCCCTCCGCCCGGCTGGGGCCGAGAGGGGAGTCCCTGAAGGCTCGCTCCCATCCGCCTGACATCCAAACACTGCGGGGACAGACGGGGCTCGGGACGGCCGCTCCTGCCAGGCTGGTGCCTTTCCGGGCAGACCGGCCCCAGCCGACCCGCGCGGCTCCTTCCTGCTCTCCCCACCGCCCCCTCCCAGATCCTGGCTGGGCCCTGCAGCATCAAATGGTTGATTTTAGTCTTTGCTTAAATTAAAAAATTAAAATATATATACATATATATACTGTACACACAGGACAATAACAGAGTGGGAAAGGGGAGCGGGAGGGGGCGGGGACGGGAAACGGAGCCGGGAGGGGGAGGTTAGGGGCGGGCGGGAGCCATTTATTTTACAGTCAAATCAGGAGTTCAGCAGAACGGGACTCTGGGGCCCCCCGGAGGACCCTCCCCGCGCGGAGTACGGAGGGTGGGCTTGGGGGGCCGCAGGGGGAGGGGGAGCTCGGCCTCAGGTTGGGACGCGGTCCCTGGTCCGAGGGCACGGCCGCGGTCTCAGCTTCTCCGCGACTTTGAGTGTTGGATAAGCCACTGTAGGGTGATGTCTGGGGGGACAAGGGAGCAGGTTACAGGGCTTCAGGGCTGCTTCTCCTGCGGAGAGCGCACACTGGGGGCGGGGGGCTGCAGCTGGGGTCACCCCACGGGCGTCAAAGCCCAGTTCCAACGTCAGACCTGCTCCGACAGAGACGGAGCCCCAGGGGGTTCGCCCAAGACCGCACACCAGTGGACGCAGGGCGGGGACTTCCCACCAGGGGAGCCCGAAGCCTCCCCTCCCGCCCCACACCCGCCCCACACCCACCGATGTTGTCCTTCTCTTTGCAGGAGATGGAGTAGCAGCAGATCTCTCGGTCCTGGATGGCAGACAGGTTCCTGCGGGGACCACCCAGTATCCTGAAGCTGCAGCCCTGGGGACTGGGGACTTGGGGCTGGGAGCGGGGGCCGCGGGTGTCGGGGAGGCCGGGAGGAGCGCGAAGGGCGGGCCCGCGGGCGCCACCGCGCGGCCGGCGTCGGGAGCGCGCGAGCCCGCCACTCCGCGCCGGGGGTGAGCCCACTCACATTTTCTCGATCAGCTCCTTCTCATCCAGCGCTCCCGGAAGGTCTCGCTTGTTCCCCAGGACGAGAACCTGCCGCGAAGAGAGGACAGGGCTCGGACCAGGGCTGCCGCGGCCCGGCCGCCCTGGAGGGGGTGGGCCCGGGCGCCCCCACACCGCCTCACCCGCGCAGAGCTGGGCCTGCCCGCCATCCCCACGTCCCGGGCCTTGCCCTCCCACTCCACGCGGGGCTGACCGGGATGCCCTGCAGCTGGGGCTTGTCCAGTAGGTTGTGGAGCTCATTCTTGGAGGCCTCAATTTTCTCTTGGTCAGCGGCATCCACCATGTACCTGGGGGACGGCAGGTGGGGACACAGTTGGCCCCACAGGCTGGGGTGGGGGTGGGAGCCGCCACCTGGGCGGGCTCAGCCGGGGGCTCCGGTGGGACAGCCTGCGGGGCCGCGGGGACCTGCCCGTGTCCTGCCTCCACAGACCCGGAGAGGCTGCTGCTCGCAGGGCAGCACGGGGTCCTGTGAGATCAGACCCCCGTCCTTCCAGGAGGGACCCTCTTCTGTTCTCACGGAGGACCAGACAAGGGGGTAGACAACTGCAAAGGAAGCCCCAACAGGCTTTATGCCCAAAACGCTTTTAAAGAAATTAGACTGGGGAGTTCCCTGGTGGTCCTGGCTGCAGGGGGTACCAGTTCCATCCCTGGTCCAGGAACTTGAAGATCCCACATACCACGTGGCCAAAAAACTTAATAATAAATCAGGTTACAGGGTGTAAGATTAGCCACAACGATGTACTTTACAATATAGGGGATAGAGCCAATATGTTGACATAACTATAAAGAGTGTTACCTTTAAAAATTGTATAAAAAACAAATTTAAAAACAATGAAAGCTAAACGATCTTTTGTTCGGACACATATATATGTTGTTGTTGCTATTTTTTAAAAGCAAGGGAGGGAATTCCCTGGCAGTCTAGTGGTTAGAACTCAACGCTCACTGTGAAGGGCTGGGGTCAGGGAACGGAAATCCTGCAAGCTGTGTGGTGCGTCAAAAATGAAAAAGAAAATAAAGTTAAAAAGGAAAAAAAAAATAGGGAGTGAACTGCTAAATCACATAAATTCAGAACATAAATTAGTCTGAGTCGGGGGAGGTACACGCGGAGGCTTCCACATGAGGCGATCGGTGCTGCGAATCTCTGAGTGGACGGTGGGCGTCCAGAGGGTCCGTCCGAGCAAAGGCGAAGCCAAAGCAGCGACAGGGGCTCGCGCCGCCGGCCAGGGCCCATCCCGCGCACTCACACGATGGCGCTCACTCCGCGGCAGTAGCGCTCCCACATGCTGCGGAAGCGGGGCTGTCCCCCGATGTCCCAGAGCTGCAGAGAGGGGGCGGCGTCAGCGGCGGGCGGACCCTGGCCCGGCCGGGCTTCCCCCCACCCGCCCCGACTCCTCCACCCCGTCCCCCCCGGCTGTCATCTGTTCACTATGAGGGCCCTCTGGCGCTCCCCGGCCGCGCACCTTGATGGTCACGTTCCCCTTGGTGATCTTGCGCATGTTGAAGCCCACAGTGGGGATCATGTCCTCGTTGAACTGTCCCGACTGGAAGGGAGAGTCAGAATCGGGAAGGGGGCAAAAATGGCAGGAGCCAACGCCCGGTCCCATGTGGCCATGGACCAGGTCTTCCAGAGTCTCTCCTGCCTCCACTCCCACACCCCCATCCCCTCCAGGCCACCAGGGGGTCCCTGGCGGGTGCCATGTGCCCCCCACTTTCAGGCAAGACGCGGCCCTGGCCAAGCCCGGCGTCCACCTCGCAGTTGGGCTCTCCCGTGACAGAGGGCTCTGGAGAGGCTCGGCCTGCACAGAGAGCCCCTCCTGAGAGCCAGCCTCCACGCCCCCGTGCATCCCCTGGTGGGACCGGCGGGGCAAACGGCCGAGGTTCACACTCGCACAAGGCAGTGAACATGCATGTCAAATCCGGATGGGTAAGTCAGCCACACCCCACATGCAATGCACAGCCAGTGTTTTCTGGGCTTCTTTGTACTGTACCAGTTTGTAGGGTGGGTGGTCTTCCCCGGGACCTCACCAGACCGAGCTCCTTGGGGACTAACTCATTTCCCATAACCCAGTTTCAGATTCTAACAGTTCTCATTTCTCCCCTCTCAACTGTCTCCATGATCTCTAGACTGTTCTAAACTAGCCACAGGCCTCTAACAAGGCCAGATCGAACTCCGCCCAAGGCTGTCTCCTACATGTCTCTTCACATGTAGGCCTCTGCTCGCCCTCGGACACAGGCTGAAGGCAATGTGGCTTCCTTAACCTTGAACCTGAGGAGACAGCCTTGCTCCCCTGTGATGCCACCTTCTACTGCCAGGCGGCAGGAGTCCTTTGCCTCCGGCCACACAGAGCAGCCAGGGGCTCTGATCACTGGCCAAAGTGTGGACATGGTGGTTTCTTGTTCAGAGCCTGTGAGTGTGAACCAAGTCCCCCAGGTCCCAGCTGAAGGAGATAGACGGATTCCCTTTTATCTTCAGGAGTCATCAAGGCCCTCGGATGGGAGCGGGGGCCACCCAAGAGGCGTGCTAGGGATAAGGCGGATCGAGGGGCTTCAGAGACCCCTGAGAGTGCACACAGTGCGTCTGCACATATTTGGTGAAAGGGTCTCTGGTTTCCATCAGGTATCAAAAGGGTCCAAGAGCCTCTAAAGCGAGGAAACTCAGGAAAAGGGAGCGCCCTGAGGAGGCGGCTTCGCTTTTGGCTAACTAGGGAGAAGCATGTGTGGTTTACCTCTGCAAACCCCGGCAGGGTGTGGGGGGCGCACCCCCACCCTGAGCATGTTAAGAACATGGAGACTGAGGAAGGGAAGCCCAGTTCTCATTTATCACTCTTCATGGAGGAGCTTGGACAAGACACTTTGACCTCTCTGGGCCTTGAAGTCTCCTTCTGTGAAATGGGGGAGAGGGGTTTGGTTTCCTAGAAAGTGGCCCACAGGGCTCACAAAGAGCTTGGAAATGGTCTCCATATGCGAGGAACCATCATTGCCCCCTGGCGACCAGAACACCCACAGGCTCTCCTAGAAATAAAAAGCCCAGCCTGGCAGAGGGGGGTGCCGGAGGACCCTCAGGGAGGCAGGCTCCCTGCCCCGGGATTTCCAGGTCAGCAGTCAATCAGAGCTAAGCTGGAACCAGTCGCAGCTTCATTTCTCGGCTAAGGCCTCGGATCTTACAAGCTCCTCCTTCAAGGTCAGCAGGAACCCTAAAGTTGTCTAGTGGAGTGCCCCCTCAGATTTGAATTCCCTCTAGCTCATCCCTCCTGGGTTAGCTGTGGCACTCCGAAGTTCTTTACAATGAGTCAAAAATCCATCTTCCCAAGTTTACTCCTAGGTACCTCAAGATCAGTTCTTCCATTGGACAGTCATTCACGCTTTAAAGTATTTGAAAATATTTGTCCTCTAGCTTCCCTTGGGCAAAACACCTCCTACTTGCAGGCAGCACAGCCTTTTCAGAGCTTGGGAAGCTGAGGTTTGGGTTCTCCGAAGCACGGAAGTCTCAATGACACTGCCCAGCTCACGTTAGCCGTTTGAGCAGCAGATACATAAACTCAATTTCTATTTACAGTCAGACTCATAGAGTGAGCAGAAAAAACAAACGAGGAAAAGCTGAGACAAAGAAAGGCCAAATGAAGAGGCCAACGGGATTCAGCAGATCAGTGGTGGGCACAAGGGCAGAGCCCAGGGTCCTGACTCTTTGTTTCTTTCTGAAAGACACTCCACTGGGATCATACCCGGGTATGGCCCTGGAGGAGCTGAGAACTCTGGACTCACTCAGACGTGGGCACTCCCACTGTGGCCCACAAGGATGGGTGTTTCTGGGAAGCCTCTTTCTAGGGAAATCGAGGTTCCACTTTTGGGATGTGCGAGCTGAGGTGGCACATTTCATGTCGTGAAGATGAAGGTGTGGCCGGGGGGGCGGGCAGCCTCCTTGTGCACCTCAGAAACTCTTGACCCTGGTGATGGAATCTGTGACTCTGGGATTCCGTTCTGACCTGCCAGAGCCTCCTGCTCTCTGGACACGACCAGGACACAGAAGCGCCTGGGCGCCTGCGGATCCCTGCTGGGGACACGGCTTTGTAGCCGCTCCAGGAGGAGCACATCCCCAGGACCAGAGGTGACGCCCAGGCTGAGCCATGAGAGCAGCAAGCGGCCCCCTCCTGGCCTCACCGCGGTCACCTCCCAGCCAGGCACCTGGCCCCTGCTCCTGGAGCCCGAGCCTACGTCAACGCCGTGTCTAACCAGGGGTCTGCGACCGAGGGCCAGAGCCCGGGCAGACAGGAGCCCAGACACCATCCTGCCAACAAACCCAGACTGGGCCCCACAGGCTTGTCTTGCTGGGTGAGCGGCCAGGAGCCCCTGGGCAGAGGTCATCACAAACATGTTTAGGAAAGGGAGCCAGGGCCCAAACAGGCCGTCGTGGGGAATCTAACCCCAGCCTCCCTCCACCCTTCTCTTCAAGGGTGCGCAGAACGGACAAGGGAGGTACCCAGGCCCGCGGTCACACTTCTCCGCTGACCCATCTCATGCACCGCCGGTCCACAGTTCTCAGAAAACCCAGGCAGGGCACAAGCCGAGCCCTGCCCAAGCCTCCCTCAGCCCCACGGGCCCAGCGCAGCCAGCTCACAAGCGCACAAACGCCTGCCAGGCCGCGGCCGCCACTGCAGTTCAGCTCGTCTTCCCCTTTTCTGAGACACATTTTAACTCCTTCCCCACCACCGCCCTGACTCTAAAAGGCTCACGCTCGCCCACCCGGGTCCCGGAGCCACTCTCCCCTCTTTCCCCAGAGTGGACCTGCCCCCCACCTCCACCCCATCCTCTGGGTCCCCACCTCCTCTGCAACTTCCGGGCCAGGCGGGGCCTCCGAGGAGTGCCGTCCATCCCCCCGGACCCCCAGCTGGGCAGAGGTTCCCGTAGAGGAGGCGTCTGGGCTGGCTCCCTGGGCCCCGGGCGGATTCCACTCCCCCCAGAGCATCCCTCTCCCCACCACCGTCAATAGCGCCGGGGCTTCCCCTTCCGGCCAGGCGGGGTTGACCCCCCGGGGTGGGGCTTGGGCCGCCGGGGCCCCTGCCCAAGCCGCAGGGCATCCCATCCCGCGACCCTCCGCGCGGCAGGCCCTGCACTTTCGCCCCGTCATGCGCCGGACTGCGGTGCGGAAGGNCCCCCGAGCGAGCGCGCTCCTCCGCGCCGGGCCGGCGGACCGAGCCGCGGAGGGTTGGGCGGGGCGCGAGGGGCGCCTGGGGAAAGGAGCTCCGGTTACTTTTCCCCTTCGCGAGCTGCCGCGTCCTGACGGGCACCCGTCCGGTTTTCCAGGCAGTGGCTCGGAGGTGGGCGAGGGCGCTATCCAGCGGGAACATTTCCAGGGTGGACGAGGGTGGTCCGCGGCCTCCCAGGAAGTGGGAGGAGGTCTCTGAGATCTTTTGTTCCCTGCGTCCTGGCCTCTGAGCATCTCTGGGTACCGAGTCCCATCTCTCAGAGGGTACCCCGCGGAGAGGAACAGCCGCCAGTGAGCGCTTTGTCAACCACGATGTACCGGAACTCCCTGCTTATAAGCCTCTGGTCCAGAGCAGCTTTTACTAGGACCACCGTGATACTAGACAGAGAAGATCCTGCCAGGCGGTTTCCAGGGAGGCAGGTTTGTGGCAAATGGAAAAGTTGGCCTGTGCTGGGTAAAGCCACAGTTGCAGTCAGGAGAGCGACCGGCGGGGGCGGGGGCCTGCCGAGGTGCAGCTGTCCCCGGGCCCCCAGCCGCCACCCTGCCCTGGCTGCATCTTAGTGTTTGACCTCCACGTGTGTTCATGTGTGCCTGTGGTTTTCATCAAAGGTGCGTAAGCTTTCAAATAGCAACCATACCCGCCAAACTCACCAAGATGACCCCATGATCAGTTGCCAGAATGGTGGGATCGCAGGGTCTCGGCCTGCAGAACGTCCAAGCGATTACATGGCCTTTCTAGTGCCTGCTCTAGGTAAGTTCCTCTCTAGCACCCAAGGAACACCTGTCTCCCCTGCCCCCCGACAAGCCCACTCCAGGGTCACTGTTCCCCATGTCCCTAGAAGGGCTGTAAAAATGCACGTTCCGGGGTAAAGAGCGGCCGCCTGTCCTTGGTCTGTGGATTCTTACCCTAATTGCTGTGAAGGGGCCCTGGAGGCATGAGGACAAGAAGAAGCCTTTATTTCCCCACCTGTTATTCTCCATGGCCTGTCCTCAGGTCTGGACAGGGTTGGGGCAGCAGCACCCAGGAAGGGGGACCCGCCCATGTGACAGCTTTCCTCCTGGGGGGTCTGAGCTCCACGGGCAGGAAGGCTTCAGGAGGAGTGAGTTCTCTCCCGGGTGGTGGTTGACCGTGAGATTAGATCTGGGGGGCCCTGGGCCTTGTGTTGATGAGAGACGCGGAGGGCAGTTAGCTCTCCAGGGTAAACTGTGGCGGACCCTGTTCAGCCTGAGCCCCTGGCCCACATAGGTGCTTTAACCCAAGATGCTGGTGGAAACAGGCGTGTGGTCCAGGCGTGCTCTGCAGGGAGGGCGTGGCGGGACTCTTATCTGGAGTCAGGCAGTGCTCTTGGCTCCTTGCTCAGGTCTTGTGTTCTTCCGGGGCACGTGCGTCCCTTCTGAGGCTAGCAGGCAGGCTGAGGACGCAGGGTCTCCCGGGGGAGTGGCTGGAGCAGGTGGCTGGCAGGTACGGAGGCAGGGGCCGCAGTCTGCACTGCGGGGAGGTGTTCCCACACTTTCCTTCTTCTAGAGACTTTAACTGTTTGGTCCGGTCACTTCTGTAGCCTGTTCCCCAGACCCCAATGTGGGCCTGGGCTGTTCTGGTTCTTGCTCTCTTGGGGGTGTCCAGCCTCTGATGTGGGGTGAGGAGGCAGAGTCCCTGGCAGGATGCTGAGGACGTGGTCAAGGCAGCACCAGGCCTTTCCCACCTCCGGCCATCAGCCTGTTCTCAGGCTGGACCAGGGCAGGTATGATCTTGGGGTCATGCTCTCGCCAGCCCCAGGAAGGGGGTGCAGCTGGAGCAGCTTCTGGGCACCCTCAGGTTGCTCTGCCCTGGTGGCAGCAAAGCACCAGGTCCATATCCGAGGAAGAGACCGAGGCTCTCACATGGGGGTCACCCCTGTGTCCCCTGGGGGCATCTCCAGGGGGCAGGGGTGTGGGCAGTGCTCAAGAGCCGGTGTCTGGCCCCGTCCTCACTGGCCAGCTTCCTGGGACCCCAGACAGGCCCCCTGGGGATTCCCCAGGTCACAAAGACCCCTTTCCCAAGGCCCCCTTTCCCCAGGCCCGGGGAAGCGGCCCTGGGCAGGGAGGGCTCCGGGTCAGGGGCTGGGCTCCTCTGGCAGCTGGGCGGCAAACAAGGCCAGGGTATGGTGCAGGAACTGGTACTGCTCAGCCGTCTGGATCATGCCGCCCCTGCGGGGAGAAGCACACAGGCCCTGAGCTGAGGCGGGCAGGGATTGCTCGACCCTCCCGAAGGCCTGTGGGCACCCCCTCCCAGGGGCGTCCTCTCTGTGGCAGGCCAGGACTCCCCCCACTGCCCCCACCTTCCCCCCCGGGGGGAGGGCCCCCCGTGGCAGGGCTGTCTGACCATCAGGGATGTTCCTGAGCCCCAAGGTTTCGTCTCCCCAATAATCTTAGAAGCAGTGATTCCCCAGATCTCGTGTTCCCAATGCTGTCCCGCTGGTGAGCTCATTCCTTACAGCAGCTCTCTGGGGAGGGGCCACTGTCTCTCTGGGTAAAGAAGTGGGGACCCAGGAGACACAGAGACAGCTCAGGGGGTGTGCCCTGTTCTCTGTCTACACCAGTGAGCTTCTGCGGTTGCCTGTGGCTGTCTTGTTTCTAGAACCAACCATCCACTCTCTCCCCACCTTCCCCCCGCCCCGAAGAAGGATATTTGGAAAAACGGAAACAAAAAACAAACAAGACTGAAAGCTCAGGTACGTCCTGTTTAACTCTAGCCACCCCCCCCCCCCCAGCTAAATTCTAGATGGAGATTCTGGCCTGGGTGTAAGGTGCTAAGCTCCTGAAGCCCAAGGGGCCCATTTTTCTCCCATAGGAAATGCCCGGAGCCTAAGTGCCCACCTGTCCAGTCGCAGCTGGCACACGATGCCCAGGACGTCCACCTCCCCTTGGGCCTTAAGCTGTTGGCAGCCAATGCGGGTGGCGATGAAGCAGCCGGTCCGGCCGATCCCTGCGCTGGGTCCAGGGATCCAGGGCAGAGCGGGGCGGTCACGGGGGCAGCCGGGCGGGGAGGGCAGCGGCCACGCCTCGGACGCGCCAGCATCCTTCTCTGACGGCGCCGCTCGCCCATTGCCTGCCCGTCCTGCCCCCAGTCCTCTCCCCCAGCTCTGCCCTGCCTTCTTCCGTTCTTCAGGAAGTCTCCCCTCCCACGTGGACCCCTGACCCCCAGCATCGCCGGCTGCACCTGTGGCGGGTCCACAGCCCCCTGCCTGTGCGTGCGGCTGCGTGAGCTGCTGAGGACGGGCCTCCCGAACGCTGTGCCTCTTTCGAGTCTGTCCCTGCCTCACCCCTCCGTCCTCCCGCCTCTTAGCCCGAGGCCCCGGGCCTCTTCGGTGGCACACCGGGGTCTCGAGGCCTGTCCTGGGAGGCCCCTCATCCGCATGCCCGCTCTTACCCTGCAGACTCTCAGCCTGCCCCTGCGTCCCGGGCCCCGTGCCCTGACTGCCACCCCGCCTCCCGTCAGGCCTTGGGAGCTGCGGCTCCGTCCGCTGGGGCGCTCCCTGCTCCTCCGTTACTTACTCATTCGCCTCCCAAGTCTTAGCTCGGCCTAGAGGTCCTTCCTCCCAGAAGGCCTTTTCTGGCCAAAGTCTGGTGGGGGCGGCTTGGTTCTGTGCCCCCCAACACCCCCTGTCACATGTCATCATGCTGCATCCCGTCTTATCTGTCTTTCCCACCAGACCAAATGGTCTTGTTCACACTGTCTCCTTAGCGTCGAACACTGTGCCTGGCAATGACAGGCTTTGAGTGAACATTTGTGGAATGAATAAACGTGCGCCCTGGCAGCAGGGAGCGGGTTTGTCTCCTCCTCCCGCGGAGCGGGAGCTGCCTCTCTGGACTGTGCCTGGGTGCCCGGCCCACACGTCTGTGTTCCGCACTTGCTGGATGAGCTGGAGATCCCTGTGTGAGTGAGGCCCGGGCCGGCCCGCCCTGCTCCACGTAGAGCCCCTCCGAGGGGCCCCGTGGGGAGAAAGGGTTTCCCCGGGGGTGCATACCTGCAGTGGACCACGATGGGCCCAGAGCTGGTGGCAGTCTCTGGGCTGTCCTCCACCTCAGCCACCAGACGCAGCAGGGGCCCCGCCGATTCTGGGGTCTGGTGGTCGGGCCAGGCCGAGAAGAGGATGTGCTTCAGGGCCCGGCACTGCTCCTGGTGCTGGGCGGGGGCGGGGCATGAGAAGGGGGCACGGGATGGGATGACCCCGAGCGGAAGACCGGCCCCCTCCTGCTCAGGCTCCCTCCTGACGCTCAGGCCTGGCACTGCCTCCCACCAGCCCAGGCCTGGTGGACGTGTCCCTTAGCCTCAGGTTCTTTGCCTCGAACACGGGGCTGTGATGCTCGGAGGCCAGAGAGCTGCTTAGGAGAGCGAAGGCGCCTCCGGTGGCCGGGGCTGAGGCGCGTTCACTTGTCGTTAACCCTCTCATCAAACTGCCGGACTCCCTCCAGCAGTGACTCCAGGGCCCGCCCCGCTCCCCACGGGAATGGTTAGCACACCCCGGCCGGCCTGGAGGGGCCCCAGGATGGCACCCGTGTCCCTCTTCCGGGCCCAAGCAGCTCCGCAGACGTGGGTTCAGGCAGGTCTCCCTGAGCAAACCCGAGACTCCCAGGGAACCTCCAGAGAGGGGCGGCCCAGCCCCCTGCGGCCCCAGGTACCTGGATGGTGAGTGTCCGCACGGTGTATTCCGGGCACTCCCGCACATCCTGGACGCGGACACGGAAGGGCCCGTACGTCTCCTCCTCTGTGGGCCAGTAGTGGACGCACTTCTGGGCGGGAGGAGCTGGGAGTCAGGGGCTGGGGTCTGTCGGCTGGAACAGGGCCCCCAGAGGCGTCTCCCTGCCCCCCTGGGGGGCTTGACACCTGCAGATGAAGTGCCCGCCTCCCCCCGCCCCCAGCTTCTGGCGGGGGTGGCCTCCGTGGCCTGTGACTCAGGGACTGACAGGTGTCTTCAGCCCCCGGGGCCCTGCCTGGAGCCGCCCCCACCTCCTTGCCCTCTCGGAGCTGCGTGAGCATGATGATGAGGGTTGCTTCCTCCTGCCACACCATCTCCCAGAAGTCCGACACCGTGTTGGGCATGGGGCCCTGGGTGGCAATGTAGGCCTTGTCCTGCCCGCCGTAGCCCTGCAGGCGGGGAGGCAGGAGGTGAGCGTGGGGCCCGGGGCGGCCTGAGCTGCAGGCGCCGGCTCAGGCTGCGGCCCGACACGCGTCAGGGACGCGCACACTGGGAGCCGCGCGCTGGCCGGGATGGGCTCTGGGAGGGGAGCACAGCGGGTCCCAGCTCTCGCTCTGCTGAGGCAGACCAGGCCTCGTGCCCGCCCAGCCGCTGTGGTACAGGTCAGACTGGACAGAGTGTGCTGCGTTTGGTCTTTCGGGGCCTCTGTGAATGGTCCCTACTACTAGCACCAAAGGCGGGCAAAACCATGGCCCTTTGACACGATACTTTGTGGAGTTAGCAGCAAAGTGTAGCACGCCCCTGCCAGCCCTCTTTCTCCCCTTCAGAATCCTCCTGCTCCTCAGGGAATGGGGGATCCAGACCGTTCACTGGCCCACGCCTCACCCTGGGGCCCTCAGTTCAGTTCACGTCTGACTCTTTGCAACCGCATGGACTGCAGCACGCCAGGCCTCCCTGTCCGTCTCCAGCTCCCGGAGTTTACTCAAACCCATGTCCCTCGAGTCGGTCATGCCACCCAACCACCTCACCCTCTGCCGTCCCCTTCTCTTCCCGCCTTCAGTCTTTCCCAGCATCAGGGTCTTTTCCAAAGAGTCAAGTTTTCCCCGCCAGGTGGCTGATGCGGGCTGTTCACGTCCGCTCCTGCCGGTGTCCCACCCACTCGGAGCCGCTAGAGGGCGCACATCTGCTCCTGCCGCCTCCCACCCTGCAGGCCGGAGGCTGTGCACTGGGGACAAGGCTAGGCGTGGAGTCCACCTGGCCTCCTGGCCTCCTGGCCTCCGGTTCCTTAATTCCTTAAGCCGCCTCCAAGAAGGAGGGGCTGCCTGGACCAGCAAAGGCAGAGGGGAGGGAACGGGCCAGGTGCCTCAGTGGGCTGCAGACCTGGGAGTCTTGGGCTAGGGTGGCCAGGGCCGCTCTCCGCGGAGAGGCTGGCAGGTGTGGGGGGCCAGGGGCAAAGGAGGCCGGGTCTTCCTTCCAGCACCGGACGTCTGCTCTGTGCATCCTGGTGTCCTGTTCCGGCAGCTCATGGGGTTGGAGCCAGGACACCAGGTGCCCGGCCCTGCAGGGAGGTGTCCTGGGGGGGGGTCTCTGGACACAGCACCCACTTCCCCGCCAGCAGCTCACCCGGATGTAGTTGGCATTGATGTAATTCCCATCCTCCTGGCTCTGTGCCCGGCCCAGGCAGACTCGGCTCTGGGGGTCTAGGAAGTGAAAACCAGCAGAGGTGAAAGGGCGAGCAGGAGGGCAGCAGCGCGCAGGGACGGTGAGAGGGCAGCCCTGTGCCGGCCGAGGCGCCGAGATGAGCAGGCGGCCGCGGGCTCCTGAGCAGCAGAGGGCCAGGCCAGGGTGGCGCTGGGGAGGCCCCGGGCAGCGCCCGGCAGGACAGACAGGCGGAGGTCAGAGAGGTGCGGAGAGGGGTCGTGGCAATAAAAATGGAACGAGAGAGACGGCTGAGGACGTTTCTCCTGAGGAACCCCACTGGAACTCAGGCTCCATCCCACGCCCGCCCGGCCCTGCGAGTCAGCCCCAAGGGGGCCTTTCTCCAGCTCCAGTCCAGGCCTGATGAAGAAACTGGCTCCCAGGGGCCAGCTGGCCCGGGCAGAGGGCACCTCGGGGCCCAGAGCAGGCTGCCCCCGCTCCTTCCGTGGGCACTAGCAGGCTGGCAGAAGGCTGTAGCCTCCACACTGGGGGCTGCTGGGGGCAGCGGGTCAGATAAGGCTGCTCTGCGTGGAGCGGGGGCGGGGATAGCTTTCTGGGCCTCGTGGTCAGCGGGCCCCGCGCGTGCCTCTGAACACAGGAGGTGCTGACCCGGGTCTGTCAGCCCCGTGAACCCTGCCTGCCGCCTCCTCACCCCTCCGTCTAAGATCCTCAGCGCCTCTTGGGAGCTGTCCATACAGGGCTTGTCCCCTGCAGACGGTGCTGGCCGTTTCCCAGGCGGGAGGAGCAGGAGGAAGGGGGTTGGTGCCTGACACTGTGACCTCAGGCGCGCTACGTGAGTTCTCTGTGACTCGGTTTCCTCATTTGTAAAGTGGGGGTTAGAACGCCACACACCGACTACCCAGGGCCACGCTGAGCAGTGCTGGCCCGCAGTGAGGGCCTCGTCTCAGGCTGGTGTGGTTCCTGACCCCTTCCCTGGCCAGGGCCAGGCGGGGGCATCCCTCTGTCAAAAGACGAGGCCCCATGCAGGGCAGCCCCCTCCTGGCTGAGGCTGTGTCTCGCCCCCTGAATGCCGCCACCCCAGCCCCACCGCAGTCCTTACTTGGCAAGATGGTCTTATATCGGTCCTTGGAGGCATGGCCAGGAATATCCAGGTCCTCAGGGCTGACAAAGTTTGAGGGGATCCTCTGGCGGGGGCGGGGGAGGATGTGTGTGAGCAGTGGCCCCCTTTGTAGCCTCCCTTCCCCCGCTTTCCTGGTGGAGAGGCCCTGTTCCCTCCCAGCATCAGGAGGTGGGTCTGGATGGGGTGCAGGGCAGAGGGTGGAGCCTTCTCCTTCCTGGAGCCCCTGGGGTTCTCTGTCCCAAGGGCCCACGGGGACAGGCCTGCCAGCTGCTCCCAATCCAGAAGGGCAGTGACTCGGGGGGCCTTCGTTCTCACCAGGAATTCCTCTTCCAGCTGCGTGGGGCTGGGCGGGCGGTGCTGCAGGGCCTGCCGGCTGAGGGGGCGCCCGGCTGTGCGCAGGAAGTGCAGCGTGACCTCCTGGGGCGTGCGCACGGAGCAGATGGGCTCCACAGCCCCCAGGGACCGCACATCCAGCATCAGGGCCACGTTGGAGCCGCGCCTGCAGCGGAGACAGCACGGCTGGCCTCGATGGTCCCGGCTGTCCCGGCACCGCTGACGGTGGGCTCCTTGTCTCCTCTCGACCCCGAGGCCCAGGCCCCCAGCACCCCTGCCCCTCGTCAGCCAGCGAGGAGGCTCTGGACCCAGCAGCTGCCTCCAGCTGCCCTCACTTCCCATTCCTGGCTGGGCCCCTAAAAGCTCAGACCCACATCCAGGCCTGGAGGCTCTGGGCCCCTCGAGGGGTGCTCAACCCAGCCTGGGACTTGGGGCGCAGGCGCAAGGCTGACACAGATATGCAAATGAACAGTCTGGTTTCCTTTGCCTGGGGAGGCGTGGGGGTCCCACCGGAGGGGCGGCCGAGGGCAGGCCGGCTTAGCGGGACCCTCCCTGGAGGGTCTCACCTCTCCTGCAGCCGCACGTGCTTCCTGGCTGGGGCCTGGTCTGGCGGAGGCTGGGTCATGGCTGCCCCCGAAGGCGACTATGACGGTGAAGGGGAGGCCGGGGCGGTGCTCTGGAGCAGCCCCGGGCCTGGACCATGCTGGGGGCGGTGCCCCTGGAGCTCACACGGCCATGCGGCTTGGCCTCTGGGCTGTCGGGCGGCCTTCTGCCCTCGGGCACCTCGGGTCTCCTAGCTGTCTTCCGCTGTTCCCCAGGAAGTGGTGGTGTGGCTCTGTGGGAAGGCCAGGATCTCTGCAGGGGCGTGGGGTGGCAGCCGCCTGGGGTTAGCGGGAGGGCGAGATAAAGGGTCACGACGGGGGCCGAGATAGGATGGGATCTGGAGGAATCCGGAGGGGCAGGGTCCAGGGGGCGTGCGGCCGTTCTGGGTGGAGGGTGGGCTCACGCCCCTGGGTCTGCAGGCGCCTCCTCTGGGTGAGAACGTGGACCTGTGTTGTGCTTGGGGCAGCTGGCCCTTCCACCCAGGGTCCCCCCGGCCTCTGGGGTCTCCGGCCTGGGAGGGTGCTGCCTTCCTGCCGCCCATCCCCCACCCGCCACAGTAACCGTCACAGGAAGTGGCCTCACCGAGCCCGCGAGCACAGGGCCTGGGGAGGCGACAGCTGGGGGCATAAGCCAGGCGCAGAGGTGGCGGGCGCCTTGCCGAGGGCATGGCCCGCCTCCAGGCCAGGGCCCGGCTCGGAGCTGAGCTGGGGTGATGGGGTCGCTGCGCCAGTGGGGTCTGGGTGGGCAGGGGCGGTCGCAGCAGGACGCCTGTCCGCCCTCCCCGGCCCGCCGCGCCCTGTCTGCCCTCGGGGCCATCAGTGCCCCTGCCCACTCGGCGCATGACCCCGATGCCCTCCCGCTCACCCTCCCAGGGATGCCCTCCCAGCCCTCCGTGTTCGCCGACCTTGGGCCTCGGGGCTCCTCCCCGCCCCTCAGGTACTTACAAGGCGGCCGTGTCCCCAGGCGCCTCTTGCCAGCTGTCTGTCTGTCTGTCGGTCTGTCTCTGAGGACTGGGGAGGCCTCAGGAAGCCCGCTTCCTCCCTCCGCCCCTCCTCACTGCCACCCACGCGCACCCAGCTGCCTGTTGCCACCAGCAGGGCCGGCGGCCTCCTGCCTCTGACCCCGGGGCCCGGCCTGTCCACACCTTGGCCACAGCCCGGCCCTGCACGTGGGAACGGCCGGCCCTGACCACCGCCTCTCCTGTAGGGCCCTGGCTGCCTCTCGTCTCTGCCTGCCTGCTGGGCACGGTGGAGCCGACCCCTACCCCAGGCTGCCCCCCAGAAGCCCTTGCCCCTTCCAGCTGCGGGAATCCCACCAGGAACAGGGAGAAGTAGGTGCACATGGGGGTGGGGGAAGGGGGGCGGGAGTCTCTCTCCACGAAGGGAAAGGCTCAGGCCAGGCCACAAGGGTCAACCCCAGGCCCCCAGCCCGAGCTGCCTTGGGTCTGAGCCAGGTCAGCCACCCTGGGGGTGGGCAGTAGAGACACCCCGTAGCAGGGTCTGGGGGCTTCCCCCGCCCCCAGCCCCACAGGCCTCCTCCCAGAACCGTGACATCTGCTCAGGGACCCACGAGGGTGGCCAGCCTCTGGCTCTCACGCAAGGCGACCCCCATGTCTGCTTTGCTGCTATGCCACCTGGAGCCTGGGCCCTGGGTAGGGGAGACCCGAAGTCCAAGACCCCACTGGCCTGCCCCTAGCTCACCCAGTGGGCCTCCTGTTGGCTCCCTGCTGGGCTCCTGTCACCTCAAAACATCCCCTCCGGGCGCCCACAATCCCATCCTCACCCCGCCACCCACTTCCCTGATTCAGCCATCAGAAGGTGACAGCAAACAGCGCTGTGTACGACAGGCCGGGGGTGGCAGGCAGGAGGCGTGGAGGGCTGCCTGCAGGCAGGGCAGGGTGGCCCTCTGGCGCTTGGGAGGCCCAAGCGGGGGAGCCCAGGTGGAGGGGACAGGGCAGGAGCCTGGGGACCCCTGGCAGGCCGGGGGGCATGGCCTCCAGCTCAGCTGGCCCCAAGCCCACCCGTATTTCCACGAGTGGGTACTGGGGGGCCTGGGAAAGGAAAGGGGGAGTTGGAAAGAAGGCCACCCTCTCAGGGCAAGCTGCTGATTCTTATCACGAACAGGAAGCTAGGATACCGCAGGAGTGGGGGAGGAGGCGGGGATGGGTGCCCCGCACTGCACCGCCAGTGCCCCCAGGCCCGTGAGCACCCCTCCCCTCAGGGTTGGAGGAGCTGGAGGCTGTGCTCTTGGCTGGAGAGCTGGGGGCCCAGAGGTGCAGAAAGTGGGTGGGGTGGGGTGGGTAATGGTTGGGCACCAGGTAAGACCCCAAGGACAGCTCAGTTCCCTTTGGCTATATTTGGGGGTGACACTCACCTTCCCTCCTACTCACCCTGTGCCCCTTTCTACTTAAGAGATGCCTGGACATCACTGGAGGTGTAGACACAGCTGCAGGTGCTGGGCGCCAGCAGAAGCCTCAGAAAAGATAGGGCCCTGCGACAGCCCCCAGCCTGGCCTGAGCCCCGTCCAGGGTGGATGCTGCCCCATCCGGGCTGTGGGGTGCAGACGAAGGCCTGGAGGCCGTGGGAGCGACACCCGTCCTGAGCCTCCCCCTGCCCCAGCGTGGACCCCCATGGCTCTCAGGCTGCTCACTCCGCCTGCCAATGTGTGTCAGAGCTGGGTGCGGGGCGCAGGAGACCAGGAGGACCCCGCTGAGCCCTGCTGAGACAGGGGTCCCTGCTCCTCCCTGCTTCTCAGGAGCCCTCTCCCTAGGGGCCGAGGAACACCCCTCCCGCATTGGTCAGAGGGCGGATCCTGCTGTGCTGGGAGCCGTCTGCCAGAGAAGTGGCTCCCGGAGGGCCAAGAGAGGCTGGCCCTCTCCTGTGGGGGCTGAGGTCTCTGAGCTGCATCTCAGCAGGGCCCCACCCCCTTCCTCCAGCCGCTCCCCAGGTCCAGGGCTGGGAGCCCCAGGGTCAGGAGCCCCTCAGAGGGGCAGGTGGATTGAGAATTCCCAATACAAGCCCTGTTCCTGCAACACCTGCCTGCCCTGGGGTCAAAGGCCATGCCCTGATAGAGCCCCCGAGGCAGAGTCTCAGGACTGGCCTGCTGTGGGGCCCTGCTGCTCCAGCCCGCCCTGTCCTCTTTGCTCCTCTCGGAGGAGAAGCCCTGATCCCAGGTCCCCCACACACCCCCAGATCCCGGGCCAGCCCAGCGCGCTTCGTGTCCCTGGCCGTGTGGGGGAGACAGAGATACAGAGAGCTGGAGAGGTCCCGGGGTGTGGGAGGCTGGGCCATCCGGAGCCTCCGGCCCTTCTCCTCCTGGAGACTATCTTCCGGGGCGTGGGGGTGCTCAAGGCCAGGCTGCCGCGGTGGGCATGGGGGGGAGGGCCCGGAAGACGGACGCTGGGCTGCAGCAGGGGAAACCACTGTCGGCACTGGCACTCGGGAGCCAGGGAGCCAGCACGCCCAGACTGCCCACCACCCGCCTCTGCGTCTGGCCCCCTCTCCCCAGAAGGAACAGTAAGTAAGGCTCCAGGAGGACCCCTGGGGCTCCAGGTGGAGGATGTGGGTTTGTCTGTGGGAGTGGCTGCCGGGAGAAGACAGAGCCCTTGGGGTACTTTCTGCTGAAGGGAGATGCTGGGCTGGGAGGCTGCTTCCTACGTCTGAGTCTTCCTTACCTTCTCGAGCGTTTCCACCCCCTCCACCCCCGTCCTGGCCAAGGCTGTCCCCCTCGGCTGGCTGGGGGCTGACAGGTGTGCCCCTACCTTCCCCAGGCCCCATCCATAGGACTCGACATGGGGTCTGTGCTGTCCCCAACAGGCCCCCTTTTGTGGGGACTATTAGGCGCAGTCTGAGACCCCACCCCTTACCTAAAACCCAACCCTGTGTACCTTTTCTAATTAGATTCTGAATTAGGCTGTTTCCATCCCACTGCTCCAGGCTCTGCCGGTCCGGCTAAATGCGGTGCCCCAGGTGAGGGGGGCAGGGAGGGTGGAGTGTTTCCCCCTCAAGGCCAGACTAGGACCTCCCCCCTTTCACATCAGTTTCCCTAGTTGTTCCCCCACCTCCTCTTTTGAAAGAATGCATGTGCACACACACACACACACACACACACACACACACACACACACACACGTGTGAGCAGCCTGGAAACTCTGATGGGGCTGCAGTGCTGAGCTTCCAGAGGCTGGTGGGCGGCTCTGAGGTTTGGGGTGGCCGAGCGGCGCGAGAGAAGGGTCCGCAGAAGCCAGCTCCTTGCCCAGCGTCTCTGTACCTGCCTCTGTGCTACGCGTCCCCCTCCCGACTTCCAGCTTGGGGACCAGGGCCCTATCCTTTCCTCCGTCTCCCTCCCCGCCTTTCCCCATGTCAGCTGCCTGGGCTGGGGGCTCCAGGGAGTGCTTCCAGGTGAGTCCTTGGCTCCAGGCTGCAGGAGCCCCTAGGCCTCAGCAGCACCTGCGTCCACAAGGGGGTGGCGGGTGTGTGTGTGTGTGTGTGTGTGGGGGGAGGGTCTAGATGGAGCAGGCAGGGACCCCAGATCCCGGGCCAGCCCAGCGCGCTTCGTGTCCCTGGCCGTGTGGGGGAGACAGAGATACAGAGAGCTGGAGAGGTCCCGGGGTGTGGGAGTCTGGGCCATCTGGAGCCTCTAGCCCTTCTCCTCCTGGAGACTATCTTCCGGGGCGTGGGGGTGCTCAAGGCCAGGCTGCCGCGGTGGGCGTGGGGGGGAGGCCCGGAAGACGGATGCTGGGCTGCAGCAGGGGAAACCACTGTCGGCACTGGCACTCGGGAGCCAGGGAGCCAGCATGCCCAGACTGCCCACCACCTGCCTCTGCGTCTGGCCCCCTCTCCCCAGAAGGAACAGTAAGTAAGGCTCCAGGAGGACCCCTGGGGCTCCAGGTGGAGGATGTGGGTTTGTCTGTGGGAGTGGCTGCCGGGAGAAGACAGAGCCCTTGGGGTACTTTCTGCTGAAGGGAGATGCTGGGCTGGGAGGCTGCTTCCTACGTCTGAGTCTTCCTTACCTTCTCGAGCGTTTCCACCCCCTCCACCCCCGTCCTGGCCAAGGCTGTCCCCCTCGGCTGGCTGGGGGCTGACAGGTGTGCCCCTACCTTCCCCAGGCCCCATCCATAGGACTCGACATGGGGTCTGTGCTGTCCCCAACAGGCCCCCTTTTGTGGGGACTATTAGGCGCAGTCTGAGACCCCACCCCTTACCTAAAACCCAACCCTGTGTACCTTTTCTAATTAGATTCTGAATTAGGCTGTTTCCATCCCACTGCTCCAGGCTCTGCCGGTCCGGCTAAATGCGGTGCCCCAGGTGAGGGGGGCAGGGAGGGTGGAGTGTTTCCCCCTCAAGGCCAGACTAGGACCTCCCCCCTTTCACATCAGTTTCCCTAGTTGTTCCCCCACCTCCTCTTTTGAAAGAATGCATGTGCACACACACACACACACACACACACACACACACACACACACACACGTGTGAGCAGCCTGGAAACTCTGATGGGGCTGCAGTGCTGAGCTTCCAGAGGCTGGTGGGCGGCTCTGAGGTTTGGGGTGGCCGAGCGGCGCGAGAGAAGGGTCCGCAGAAGCCAGCTCCTTGCCCAGCGTCTCTGTACCTGCCTCTGTGCTACGCGTCCCTCTCCCGACTTCCAGCTTGGAGACCAGGGCCCTATCCTTTCCTCCGTCTCCCTCCCCGCCTTTCCCCATGTCAGCTGCCTGGGCTGGGGGCTCCAGGGAGTGCTTCCAGGTGAGTCCTTGGCTCCAGGCTGCAGGAGCCCCTAGGCCTCAGCAGCACCTGCGTCCACAAGGGGGTGGCGGGTGTGTGTGTGTGTGTGTGTGTGGGGGGAGGGTCTAGATGGAGCAGGCAGGGGTTGGAAGCAAGCACACGTCCAGGGCGTCAGGGCTCAGGAGCCCAGGCTGGAGGCCCAGGTTCACCCTGGGGCAGGGGCTCGCTCTTCCCTCCGTGGACATCGCTTCCTTACGGGGGGTGCAAGGACGAGAAGCAGGAGGGCTGTCCTGGGTCCACCACCCCTGCAACAAAGGCCTTTAGAACGTGCTCCTCCGTGTCCAGAAGGGGACACACTCACAGCTGTCTGTCCACCCAGCTCCCAGCACCACGATGTCACCAGGACCCTCCCGGTAGGAACACGGATGCCCTGTCCTCCTCTCCCCAGGGCAAGGCGTCGGGAGTCAGCTGTCTCTGCCCACACCGGGGCGTTGCTTCTCCAGGTCTGAGTCTCTTCCTGCCTGGAAAGCCAGCTGCTGAAGAGCGTGCAGGTAGGGCCAGAGCGGGAGGCAAGTGTGTGTGCAGCCAGGGGTTGCGACCCCCCTCCCTCCTCCCGGAGCCCTGCTGGGAACAGGGTCTGGGGTGGAAAGGCAGCCGAGCTCTCCAGGGAGCCGGGAGCTGAGCGGCCGATGCAGAACAGCCCCTCCTGCTGCCTCCTAGCTCTCCCTGCAGACGCCCTGGGATGAGGCCCCCAGCCCTGTTCGCGGTGCCCCTTTGGCTCCCAGGCTTCTTGGCCAAGGTGAGGCGGGCCCCGGGGCCATGGCCAGCGTGGGGAGGGGGTCCTGCTCTCTGTGGTGTCCAGGCCTCCTGCTGCGCTGAGGGCCCCAGCTGATCTGCGCGGAGTTGGGCAGAAGCAGCTCCTCCCCAGCCCCACAGGACACAGAGCAGCTGCCCCGGTTGGGGCCTCCGTGCCTCGGTGTCCTGCCTGCTGCCCTTAGGCCATGCCTGGGGTGGGGGACGGACAAGCGGACAGCCTTTTCTCTGCTCTTGGCTGCAGCCAGAGCCTCTGCCCCTCTCTCCCACCCTCATACCCGCTTCCTCGGGAAGATGAGTGCCAGCCCCCGGAAGAGGGTCCCGTAGGGGCCAGTGGAGGTGGTGGTGGAGGAGGGGCGGACAGGGCCCTCTCTCCCCCGGTCCGCCCCTGTCCTGGCCCTTCCTACCCCCGCCTCCTTTAGGGCACAGGGCACTCGGCGCCCTGACGACCCCTGCTCCCCAGGACCGCCCCTGAGGGTGACGGTCAGCAGCCGGGGCAGGTCCGCCAGCCTCACGCTGAGCCGGGCCGCCCCTGGGCCGGGTCGCGGACCCGGCCGCACCCTCCGCCTCAGCCGGCCGAACCCCCGCGGCTCCCCTGAACGGCAGCTGCTCCAGGCCCACACCAACACGTCCAGCTTCGAGTTCCGGGACTTGGTGCCAGGAAGTCGCTACCAGCTGGAGGTGACGGCCCCTGCGGGCAGAACGCCAGCCTCAGCCTCACCGTGCTCACAGGTGCGCGGCCTGCGGACGGGGGCGTGGCCTGTGGGCCGGGGCGTGGCCTGTGGGCAGAGGTGTGGTCTGCGGGCAGGGGCGGGGAGCCTGCGGGCGGGGTCTGTGGACGGGGCGGGGCCTGCGGGGCAGGGACGGGGAGCCTGCAGGTGGGGCCTGTTCCCGGGGGCATGGCCAAGCAGGATGGTGGCCCTGGAGGATTGGTGAGGTCTCTGGGGACCACGCTGGTACAGTGACCTGTCGAGGAGTGCTAGAAGCAGAGATGCTGCCCCCCCTGAACCTAGAGCCCCTCTCTGCCTCGCCGCAGCCCCGTCCACTGTCCAGGACCTGCAGCTCCACGGCTCTGAGAGCCCGTCCAGCCTGGGGGCCTCTTGGGGCTCTGCTCCTGGGGGGCAGGATGGCTACCAGCTTGTCCTCTGCCACCTGGAGTCCCAGACAGTGGTTCACAACGTTTCCACGTCTGCCGGCACCCTGACCTACAATTTTAGCCACCTCCTACCCGGCAGTGAGTATGTCTTGGAGGTTACCACCTGGGCTGCCCACCTCCAAGTGAAGACCAGTGCCCGCCAGTGGACAGGTAGGGCCCGCGCCTGGCAAGGCCCCAGGTGACAGCCGGCTGGGGGTAGGGGTGGTCCAGAGCCACGAGCCAATGTGATGAGGCTCCTGGCTCCTGTGCGGGCTTGGTGCCGGGTCCCTGGCTGGGCCCCTTCCCCAGTCCGGCTCTGTCCCGCCTGCCCTCCTCTAGCTCCTGTACCTCCAGGGCAGCTAGTGCTGCGTGCCCTGGGCACCAGGGCCCTGCGGGCCTCCTGGGGCAGCTCTAGGGGGGCCGCCTGGCTGCACCTCCTGCTCACAGACCTGCTCGGGGGCTCCAACCTGACGGCGGGCGTCACAAGAGGTGTCTCCAGTCACACCTTCCCATGCCTCTCTCCTGGAACCCCCTACACGCTGACCCCTACACGCTGACACTCGGCGCTGTCGCCGGTTCCCATTGGGCAGCGGGGCCCAGTGCCACCGAGTGGACCCGTGAGTGCTGGGGGTTTGCTGGCCACTGCAGAGGTCCCTCAGCCAAGCAGGCTGATCCGGCCATGCGGGGAGCATCCAGAGTCCTGCAGGGAAGGGCTGAGGCCCAAGAGTGCCCGCCTGCTGGCTGGTGGTAAAAGCCCCCACCCCTAAGGTGACAGTGATGACAATTGCCGTGTGCCGGCCCCACGCCAGGCACTTCTGTGTGGCACATCATCATTTAACCCCCATAAGTTGTGCTGTTCCCCGTGATGGTGGGGAGACCAAGGTTCAGAGACAGGGACCAGTCCCGAGGCTCAGGAGTGTTCGGGCTGGGCTGAGCCCCGGGACCCAATGCCCCTCTGCTCAAGGACGTGCCTTCTCACTCTGGGGAAGGTGGAGGAACCAGGCGGCCGGGTCTGAACCCGTTGCTGCCACTGCCTGGCTGTGGGTCTCCAGACAGAGTGCTTGCCATCTCTGTGCTTCGGCCTCTGCCCCTCGAAGGGGACCACAGCGGCCGTGCTGCGGCGATGTGCCAGGCCTGGCACCGGGAGTGCTCTCGTGTTTCCGCATTCTTGGCTGGGTCCCAGGACTCACCCAGCAGGTGGCCTGTCCAGGGTGCACAGCAAGGAGCTGGCCGGCTGCAAGGACTTTCTGTATGTGTCTCCCTCCCCCGCAGGTCCCTCCACGGCCCTGGACCTGTGGCTCGCTCCCCAGACCCCAGGGCTTGGGGCCAGCTGGAAGGCAGGCCCCGGGGCCTGGGAGGGTTACCTGCTCAGGCTGAGTGGGCCTGTGGAAAAGACCCTAAGTTTGGGCCCAGGGGCCCTCAACGTCACATTCCCAGGGCCCCTGCCATCCAGACACTACGCTCTGGAGCTCAGAGTTCTGGCAGGGCCTTATGAGGCCCGGTCCCAGGCCGCTGCCTGGCTGGGTGGTGAGTCCGGGCCGGTGGTGAACGGGCTGGGGTCCTGCCCAGGGGCGCCTACCTTGAGAGGGGTGGACCCTCACCCTCCAGGGCCCACACCCCTCCAGATGCTGCAGCCCAGCACCCGCAGGGCAGCGGTACCGAGCTGCCCCTGGATGGGCCAGAGGCCAGCAAGGAGCCTGGGAGCCGGACACTGCCCTACTCCGAGGGGGCCCCCTGCCTCCTCAGAAACATCTCAGGGCCACCTGGTGCCACCCAGGTCACGCTCCACGGGCCTGGGGCCCACTCCCAGGTGGACGCTGTCTCTGCTCTGGGCACTGCCACCACAAGCCCCACAGGCCACGCAGGTGAGTGCGGGCCACCGCGTCCCCTGGCCTTGGGGCTGGGGCTTTGCCGTGAGTGGAGAGGGGCTGTCACAGGCCCACACACCACACGTGCCCCCTTACCTCCATCTCCTCTGCCAGGGCCCCCCATGCCACAGTCGCTGGGGGTCACCAGCAGGGACAGCCCCTCCGCCCTGACCGTTGGCTGGGCCCTGGCACCAGGGCCGCGGGAAGGCGACAGGGTCAGCTGGCACCAGGAGGGTGGCCAGGGCTCGCTGGGCGGTCTTGTCGACTTGGGCCCGGACAACGCCAGCCTGACACTGCGGGGTCTTGTGCCCGGCTCCTGCTATGCTGTGTCGGTGTGGACTCGGGTCGGGAACCTTAGTGCCAGCATCCAAAGGGCTCGCGCCTGCACACGTGAGTTCCCGGCTGCAGCCCCTGGGAGGCCAGCCCTGGGTAGTGGGGTGGGTACCACCATCCTTCACACGCCTTCCTCTGTGTGCCTGACTCAGAGGCCATGTGTCTATTCAGAGCAGGGCATTTCATGAACCTGTTTGCAAGCATTCCCCACCTCATACCATTGGGTCAGTCGTCCACCCATCCAATCATCCACCCATCCTTCCAACCATCCATCCATCCAACCATCCACCCTTCCTTCCAACCATCCATCCATCCTTCCAACCATCCATCCATCCTTCCAACCATCCATCCATCCATCCTTCCAACCATCCATTCATCCCTCCAACAAATATTTAAAGAATGCCTTCCATGTTTAGGTATGGGGCTACATGCCAAAGCTAAAAATTATGAAGAAGATAGTGTAGAAAGGCAGACAGATAAGTAAACAGATGGTTGATGTGTCTGTTAAAGTGGTTTATGTTGGTGGTTATATCATAGGGTGAGTGTGAATGCACAGTGTGTTCAAACCACGTGAGTCTCTGTCTTCACGGGTTAAGATCGAGGACTATGAGGAATGTTCTGTGGTTCTGGCTAATCTTTCAGGGCTCATAGAAGGGCCACCTTAGGGGGTCAAGGAAGGTTTCCCCGAGGAAGGGACTGGGCCAAGGAGCACGTGGGTCTGAGTAAGGTGGTCAGAGAGGGGCCTTAGTGAGGGGGAGTGTGTCCCCAGGCCCGGAGGCGGGGAAGAGAGAGAGGGAAGGAGCTCGCAGAGAGACCCGGTCCTGGTGTGAGCCTGGGGGTGTGGGGGCTGGCGCTGGGGGCGGGGCAGGCAGAACAGAGTCACCCTCGGAGCTGAGGCCTGGGAAGCAGGGAGGGGAGCAGGCACGGGGCAGGGCCTAAGCTAGCCAAGACGTTTTCCTGGGAATCAAGGGGGCGGTTGAGTCCAGGGCTGACTGTGTTGGAGACCAGCCTGAGGGTGTGGCAGGGGGCCGGGCGGGGGGGCTCGAATCCACCTCTTGCTCATTCTGCAGTCCCTGCACCACCTGCCAACCTGAGCCTGGGCCTGGTTGCCCAGACCCCTGCCCTGAGGGCCGTCTGGAACCCCCCCACGGGGGGCAGGGACAGCTTCCTCCTGCGGCTCTACTGCCTGCAGCCTCAGGCTCTGGAGAGCCAGGAGACCCTGGGCCCCGAGGCGCAGACCTTCTCCTGGGCCTGGCTGGCTCCGGGCACCGAGTTCCTGGTGTGGCTGGCCACCCTGCGGGGCCCCGACCAGAGCAGCAGCGCCAACGCCACGGGCTGGATGCATGAGTGCCCCGCCCGCCCCGCTGACCACCCTTGCTGGGTGTCCCGGGGGCTGACCCCTGAGCTCCATGGTCAGTGAGCAGGCCACTGGGTTGACGACAGCTGCTCCCCGGCCCTGGAGCACCAGGGTACCCCTTGCCGTCTGGGAGCCCCTGGGTGCCCTAATCCCCTCTGGGCCGGGACCCCCCAGTGACTTGGCCTTAATCCCGTCTTCCGAGGCTGCATCTCCGAACACAGCCACGTTCTGAGGCCCTGAGGGTCAGGAGGTGTACGTGAATGTGGGGGGACACAGTTCAGGTCCTAACCTCCTTTCTCCACCCCCCTACCCCACTCTCCCTGCAGGCCCCCTCGCCCCTGCCCTGGTGAACGTGACCAGTGAAGGCGCCACCCAGCTCCGGGCGTCCTGGGTCCATGCGCCGGGGGGCCGGGACGGCTACCGGGTGACCCTGTACCAGGCGGGCGTCCCGGTGCACTCCAGCCCCGTGGGGGCCCAGGTGGACGGCGCCAGCTTCTCGGCTCTGACTCCCGGCACTGAGTACGAGGTGGAGGTGGTCACGCAGGCTGGGCCCCTCCGTGCAGTGGCGGCCAGTGTTGCCGGCTGGAAGGGGCAGGGACAGCTTCCTCCTGCGGCTCTACTGCCTGCAGCCTCAGGCTCTGGAGAGCCAGGAGACCCTGGGCCCCGAGGCGCAGACCTTCTCCTGGGCCTGGCTGGCTCCGGGCACCGAGTTCCTGGTGTGGCTGGCCACCCTGCGGGGCCCCGACCAGAGCAGCAGCGCCAACGCCACGGGCTGGATGCATGAGTGCCCCGCCCGCCCCGCTGACCACCCTTGCTGGGTGTCCCGGGGGCTGACCCCTGAGCTCCATGGTCAGTGAGCAGGCCACTGGGTTGACGACAGCTGCTCCCCGGCCCTGGAGCACCAGGGTACCCCTTGCCGTCTGGGAGCCCCTGGGTGCCCTAATCCCCTCTGGGCCGGGACCCCCCAGTGACTTGGCCTTAATCCCGTCTTCCGAGGCTGCATCTCCGAACACAGCCACGTTCTGAGGCCCTGAGGGTCAGGAGGTGTACGTGAATGTGGGGGGACACAGTTCAGGTCCTAACCTCCTTTCTCCACCCCCCTACCCCACTCTCCCTGCAGGCCCCCTCGCCCCTGCCCTGGTGAACGTGACCAGTGAAGGCGCCACCCAGCTCCGGGCGTCCTGGGTCCATGCGCCGGGGGGCCGGGACGGCTACCGGGTGACCCTGTACCAGGCGGGCGTCCCGGTGCACTCCAGCCCCGTGGGGGCCCAGGTGGACGGCGCCAGCTTCTCGGCTCTGACTCCGGGCACTGAGTACGAGGTGGAGGTGGTCACGCAGGCTGGGCCCCTCCGTGCAGTGGCGGCCAGTGTTGCCGGCTGGACCGTGAGTGGGCGTGGGGACGGGGAAGGGCGGAGCGATGGGCGGGGTCGCCCGGAGCCCCTCCCTCGGGGCGCCCCCGCCCCCGCCCCCAGCCCCTCGTCCCGCCTGCGGCCTAGGGCCCCGCGTGCGGTCAGACATGGCCTGCTCTCCTCCCACAGCCCCAGTGGTGCCTGCGGAGCTGCTGGCGTCCATGCGGGCGGACAGCGCCGTGGCCAGCCTGGCCTGGGCCGGCGGCCCCCTGGGGCACGGAGCCTGCCACACGCCGCTCGCGGGGGCCGGGCTCCTGTCCCGGGAGCAGCCCCTGGCCCTGGGCCAAGCCCACCTCGTCCTGAGGGACCTCGCTCCTGGACGCAACCCCTCCTTGACCGTGCGGTGCCGGCGGGGCCCCTCCAGGCCTCCACGCACCCTGTGGGGCTGCCCGTGGGTATGCTGGCGTCTGTTGCGGGCCGGGGCACCCTGAGCGCTAAGCCGTCCCGCCCCGCCCCTTCTCGCGCAGTGGGAGCCCTGCCCTCCCGCCCTGGGCCGCCCCTCGCTCTCCAGATGGGTGGGGGTGGGGGGCGTCCGGAGGAGCGCTCGTTTCTCCCTGCGGCCGCTGTTCCTTTCTGGGGTAAAAGTGCCCAGTGCCTCTGAGCCTCTGCGCTTGCGCACTGACCCCCACTCGATACGGAACTCCTGAACCCACAGAGCCTGAGCCGGTGGAGGACGTGCAGTGCCAGCCCGAGGCCACACGCCTGGCCCTGGTCTGGACTGTGCCCGTGGGGGACGTGGACACCTGTCTGGTGGTGGCGGAGCAGCTGGCGGTGGGAGGGGCCGCCCAGCTCGTCTTCCAGGCCAACACCTCCGGGGGCGCCCTTCTCCTGGCGCGCCTGGCGCCCGCCACGTCCTACCACCTCAGCCTCTCAGTGCCAGGCAGGAACGGCCTGTGGAGCCGGGCGGTCAGCCTGGTGTGCGCCACCACGCCCGAGGGTAGGCGCCTCCGGCCCCCTCCCCACGGGCCCACCGCCCAGCCCCCGCCTCAGCCCTGCCCCCGACGCCACTACCCCACGGGGCTCATGCCCGTGCGCCTGGCCCAGCCCGGGAACTGCCCTGCCCTCAAGGGCGGCTCTGCTCTCAGCGCCTCACTCCCCCTCCGCTCCCAGCCTGGCACTCCCCGGAACTGGCCGCAGCCCCCCGGCTGGAGCCCGAGACAGGGATGGGCGTGCTGATTGCCCAGGGCATGTTTGGCGAGGAGGACGGGCAGATCCAGTAGTACGGGGTCATTGCCACCACCAACATGTCGTGTGAGTCCCGGCCACACGGTGGGGGCCCCTGGCTACCACCTGGCAGGGGTGGTGAGGGGCTGGGTGCTGACACGGGCAGAATGGATGTCGGGGTCAGGGGGTGTCCCAGCACAGGAAGGGGTTGGGGCATTCTGGAGCGTGGAACTGGCACATCCAGCAATGCGGGTCATCCTGGGTCCCACCACCGTCTGCTCCTCTCCCAGTGGCCCGGCCTCCCCGCGAAGCTGTCAGCTGCACATGGTAGGACCACTGCTACGGCAGCTGCGACGCCCACCTGGCGGTACTGCTCTCCAGCCCCTTCTACCCCGGGCCCTGGGCTGCGCCCACATCCTGGCCGGTGCCTGTGGGCACGGACGACTGCGGCCGGACCCGCGACATATGTAGCGGGCGGCTCAGACTGGGCTCCCTGCATCGGTGAGGGCCGCAGCTGAGGGAGGGGGAGACTCCGGGTTTCGCTGGGGCCGCTCACACCTCATGTCAACCAGAGCCTGTGCTGATGCAGGGGAGGCGCGCGGGGCTTCCTGGTGGGCAGGGCACGCCCAGAGCGCCCCGGTCCCTGGCTCCTTCCAGGGCGGGCAGGGGTGGGCTCCTTTTCACTTCGCTGCGGGAGGCAGTGGGCACTCTGCCGGTTCAGGTGACGGGATTGGAAGGCTCCGCAGGTGGGGGGCTCCTGCTGCCTGGGACTCAGCCTCTTGGGAGGGGTGCAGCCCCTCTGCCTGGCCCCCCACCACAGGAGGTCCTGCTCCTCTGCCCCAGGTTCAGTGTCGTGGCCTTTTCCAGGCACAGCCCTGACACCCTCATCGCCGTCTCAGCCTTTTCAGGTAGGCAGGCGCCCGGCAGGGCTCCCAGTGGGTCCTGGGTGGGGGGCTGCTGCTGAGCCTTGTCCCAGCCACTGGCGGGGACTTGTCCCACGTGGCAGTGCTGGGAGCCGCCGGGCCAGGAGGAAGGTGGTCTGGGCGGGCTGGGCAGGCTGGGGGGCGGTGGGCGGACAGACGTGGAGGAAATGGTCTCCCCTCCTGCCTCCGCCCTGCGAGATCGTGGGGCAGCGCTGAAGCAGTAGAGATGTGAGGAAGCTGTGAGTGAGAGACAGTGGGGACTCAGCCTGCCTAGCAGCTGTGTGACAAAGAGGAAAACAAGCAAATTAATCTCGGCAACGTTTTCTTTAAACTGAGATACTGAAAATCTATCAACGTGATTAATTTTTGAAATAATGAGATAGTTTGCATTTATTTTTTTTTTATCAGTAAAGCTCTGCAATCCTGTCTGCATTTCACACTTGTAGCAAATCTGAACTCAGCCACTCTGTTTCAAATGCTCAGCAGCCCAGGGCTGTGAGGCGACCTCCCCCGCCCTCCTCTCCGGAGGGGGTTCAGGGTGGGCGGGGCCACCCAGGGACTGGGGGGAGGGGGCCCCCCCACTCGGAGCTGGAGGGACTGTGCTCAGTTCCCATTTGGGGCCCCCCCACCCCCCAGCCTCCACAGCGTCCATCCGGGGTTTGGGGCTCCCTTCCAAGGGGGTCTGTCTCTGTGCCCTCCCCCAAGGGCCACAGGTCAGCTCCAGGCCCCCAGCTCATGCCCACCCGCCATCCGCAGAGCCCCGGACCAGCCCCTCCCGGTGGCAGCGGGCATCATGGCCGGCGTGCTCGCCCTGGGTGTCTTGCTGGGCCTGCTGTGCTGGAGGCGAGTGAACGGGCAGAGGTGAGTGAGGGGAGGGCCACCCGCCGCTGGGGGGGGGGCCCCGGATGGCCTCCCACCACCCCATCACCCCTGCAGGGCAGAGAAGAGCCTGCGCTCCCAGGAGCTGACGGTTTACAACCTGCGGTGAGCACCTGCCCGTGCTGGACTGGGCAGGCAGCCTCAACCTCGACTCCCCCCTGCCCCAGCCAACCCTGTCGTCACCTGGGCCCTGACCAACCGCTTGACTTCAGGCTGGGTCGCTTTCTTCTCCTTCCTCTGGGGCTTGGGCCATAATCTACCCTCGGGTCCCTCCTCTGCCTCCTGACATTGGCCTCACGCTGAGCAGACACCCAGAGCGTCCTCAGGGCCCAGGGCCTGGCCCTCCAAGACTCCTGCCCACCTCCACGTGTCGTCCTGTCTGCCCCCCCGGCCCCCCTCCCCCGCGTCCCTGGCTGGAGCCCAGGGCTGTGCGCTCATGCCCACTGGCACCAGGGCAGGACTCCACACACCAGGCCCTTCGCCTGCCCCCACCCAGGCAGACCCACCGGCCCATCCCCGTGCACAGCTTCCAGCAGAGCTTTGAGGCCAAGAGTGCCCACGCCTACCAGGCCTTTTTTCAGGAGTTTGAGGTGAGGCCTCTGCCCGGCCCACGCTCTGGGGGACCCCCATCTGGTGTGGGGGGCGACGTGGGTCTGTCCCGGCCCCAATCTCTGCAGGAGCTGAAGGAGGTGGGCAAGGAGCAGCTGAGGCTGGAGGCTGAGCACCCTGCCAACAGCACGAAGAACCGCTACCCTCACGTGTTGCCCTGTGAGCGCGGCAGCGGGCGGGCGGGGCTGCAGCTGGCCCGGAGTGGCCTGCTGTGCCCACTCCCAACACACACCTTACCCCCTGCAGACGACCACTCCCGGGTCAGGCTGGCCCTGCTGGACGGGAAGCCCCACTCCGACTACATCAATGCCAGCTTCATCCCGGTAGGGCTACCCGCAGGCTGGCTGTGGCGTCCCCTGCGTTTGCAGGGCTGTCCTGCCCTGGCCATCCATGAAGACTGCCAGCTCGTGTATCTGTGTGTTCCGCGTTGGCCCTGCAGGGGGCGGGGCGGGGCTGCTTGGACTCCGCCCTTCAAAGGAGCAGGTGTGAGTGTGTGTGAGTGTGTGTGTGTGTGTGTGAAAGAAATGGTGCTCAGAAGAAACGTTTGGACTAGACGTCCAGAAAGGTTTCCTAGAGGAGAGATATCTGGGCTCTTATCACAGAATCCTGACAAGTAGCGATAGGGGTGGATGTCATTGGAAAGACCCGGAGAAGAGCCAGGGTGGGGGGGCCTGCAGACAGAGCTGGGTGGGGTGTCGGGTGGGGGCAGGAGAAGCAGTGGGGGCTGCTGAAGTGGAGCAACCGCCGGGTGGGGCGGGGGCGCTGGGCGGGCAGTGGGCCCCGGGGGGACACAGGTGGTGTGGGCAGGTGGCCTGGGGCAGCTACTTGGGGCCCTTCTGGTCTCGTCATCATCCCTTCCAGGTAGGGCTGTCTCCGAGCCAGCCTCCTGTTTGGGTTTCTGGCGTGCATGTGTTCACGTGTGTGCACACGTGCCGGCATGCACACACAGTCCTCACGGAGATCCCGCATGGATGCTCAGCTGCGTGCAGGGGGCCCCGTTCACATCTTCCTGTCCCCCGCCCCAGGGTTACACCCACCCGCAGGAGTTCATCGCCACCCAGGGGTCTCTCAAGGAGACATTGGCGGACTTCTGGTGGCTGGTGTGGGAGCAGCAGGTCCGCGTCATCGTCATGCTGACCGTGGGCATGGAGAACATGCTGGTGAGCACGCTGCAGCCCCGGGCGGCCACCAGGTGGCAGGCTCTGCCTGCAGGCCTGGCTGTGGTCTGGGAGGTGGGCAGGGACGGGGACCAGGCACCCAGGCTCCCAGCTGGACTGGCCTGTGCTGCCCCTGATGTTACAGTGGCCCCCTGCTGCTCCGGGCCCAGGGCCAGGGGTGGCGGAGACAGGGCAGTCTGCGTTTTTGCTTTGGACACACCTGTGTCCTGCTCCACATGGGGCCCTGGGACAGCACCTCCGAGCCTTTCCGTGGAGCTGCGTGGCATGGCCAGGTGACCTTGAGTAAGGCCGTGCAGTTGGCCCAGAAGCCCGGCCGCTGCCTGGAAGCCCTGGGGCCACCTGAGTTCTGGGGTGGGGGTGCTGGGGCCCGCCCAGGACAGAGTGGCTTCTGGACGAGGAGGGCGGCCGAGATGGAGGGCGGGAGGGATGCCAATCGAGTTGGGGTGGCTGGGCCCGCCCCGCCCTGACCCGCGTCCCCCCGCTGCCCTCCCACCCTAGGTGCTGTGCGAGCACTACTGGCCAGCCGACTCCCGCCCCATCACCCACGGGCCCATCACCATCCGCCTGCTAGCCGAGCAGGCCCAGGACGAGTGGACCACACGGGAATTCCAGCTGCACCACGTGCATGCCCGCGAGGGGAGCAGGGGGCACTCCTGTGGGAGGATCAACTCACCCCTGGGTCTCTGGCCTCCTGCCTGCCCGGGAGGCTGATGGTTACGGAAGGGCCGGGCGGCAGAGCGGAGACTCAGGGTCATCCGAGGCCGGGAGAGAAAGGACGTCTCCGCCTGTGCTGTGCTTGGCTCAGGCCCCTGAGCCCCATCTGCCTCCTGGGCCGTGACCTCCTGGGGCAGCGGTGCCCCCTACCTGGGCGCCCCCAGCAGGCAGACTAGCTGGAGGATGGAGGAGCCAAGGCAGCACCCTGGGCGGGGGGGGGTCCAGCCTGCCCGCGGGTTCTGGTGGCAGGACAAGGGCCGAGTGAGGACCCCTGCCCCGCCCCCAGGCTGCCCAGCAGCGGCCGCGGAGGGTGAAGCAGCTGCGGTTCACCACCTGGCGGGACCACAGTGTCCCCGAGGCCCCCAGCTCCCTGCTGGCCTTCGTGGAGCTGGTCCAGGAGCAGGCAAGGGCCACCGTGGGCGCAGGGCCCCTCCTGGTGCACTGCAGGTGAGGCGGACGGCGGGCGGGGGGCACGGGAGCCCCCCCACCCGGACCCTCTGCCCCTGCCCTGGGCCCTCCGTCCTGCAGGGCCCGCCCTTCAGGTGAGGCAGGCTGTGAGCTGGGTGCACAGAGAGGCCCCTCACAGCCAGCCCTCTGTCCCCACAGTGCGGGCGTGGGCCGCTCGGGCACCTCTGTGGCCCTGTGGCAGCTGCTGCGGCAGCTGGAGGAGGAGCAGGTGGTGGACGTGTTCCACGCGGTGCGTGTGCTGCGCCTACACCGGCCGCTCATGATTCAGACCCCGGTGGGCGCGCGTGCGGGGGCGGGGGCTCCTGTGGGCAGGGGCGTGGGGCGGAGGGACGGGCAGAGGGCACAGATGGGGGCGCGCGGGCAGGGATGCGCGGATGGGGACGGGTGGGGCGCTCAGGCAGGCAGGGGCGCAGGCGGGTGGAGGGCACGGGTGCGGGCGCGAGCGCGGGCGGGGACCCTTCGAGGAGGTGGGTCCTGAGGCCTGGCCACAGGATTCCAGGGGGCAGGGAAGGGCCCCGGGGCTTGTCTCCCTTTGGGCGGGGGTCCACAGGGGTGGATGGCCCCCACCAGGTCTCACACTTGGCCCCACGGAGGACTCCCAGAGATCCTCCCCTGCCGCGGCCCGGCCGCAGGGCTGGTCGGGTCTGGAAGTCTGGAAGCCCTCTGCTGGGCCACAGCCCCTCAGCCAGCGCCCCCACCCCCCTGCCCCCCTACCAGAGCCAGTACATCTTCCTGCACAGCTGCCTCTTGAGCAGGGTCCTGGAAGGGCCCCACAGCACCCATGCTGCCCAGTACGTGCGCCCTGGGGGCCTGGTGGGGGGTGGGGGGGATGGAGGGGGGAGGAGGAGAAGGAGGTG